ATTTGGTTTGAAAGTGTAAGGCGGGATAAACTTGAAAGAGTTCGTGAACCAGCACGATCGGACGATGGGAACGGGGGTATTATGGGGTAAAAATTGGTTTTATCATTTTCCACCATAAAAACACAAAATTTCCCAATTTCTCTCTGGACTATTTTAATGAGCTTAAAAAGACAAATAATTCAGTATATTAAAGTGTTTTTGAGCAATTATTGGTTACGGAGAAAATTTAAAAATTGTAAATTTAAATTCCCATGTTATTCTTATGGAGAATATTGTAACTTGGCAAATTTATTTATTTTATACTAAGCTATTAATATTTTACAAAAAAACACACATTATTAGTCTACTTGTAGCAGCAAACCTAATTACTCGTTTAACCTAATGTTATTTAAATAGCCTATATTTAAGTGTATATAAAATCAGGCAAATGGAAATTCGCTTAGTCTGCAGGTTTGCTGCGGTGGGGGTATTTACTTAAACCCATTGTCAACTGCCTTTTAATCACTTTTATTTTTTTGTCGTGTGTCTGTGACAACTACTCAAGGGAGTGGCGGTAATCTCAACGATTGAAGGCCGGGTTGAGTTTTAATGCTTGGTTTTTTTATATTTTAAATAGCCTAACAAAGTAAATCCATAACTTATCTAAACTTAGTTATGGTATATTGATACTAATCTGTTAATTATTTATACAAAAAAGGATTTGAAGTGGAAACATGTCCACCTCGTGGACAACCACGATAAAGGCCAAGGATAGCTCAGAACCATGACTCGCAAACTCTTCTAACCCGACTCACTACCCGCGTACCATGGTTCAGTGGTCCTACACGTCACATGAAATTATGACACCTCTTGTCAGCAGAACAATTAGGCCACACATTCCATGCCACAACCAAACCATCGAACACAATGTACTACCCAACAATGTATCCAATACTTTGTAACACTCAACAAAAACCCAATTAAATTACAAGATTATGCTGGCTAGTGAAGTTTCAACATACGTGCCCATTGCCCATTTGCCGAAATTAGTGGCAATGGCTGAAATTAACAAAAACTCTGTTTTAGGCTGGTTTTCAAAATATTAAAAATGTAAGTTATTCTTAATATATACCGGATCGTTACATGTCAACGTTTTACACCTATGGTTAACTGACGACATGACGTCCGACGGGCACAATATAATCTCAATTACTAGCAGACTAACAGTAAGTTGAGCCAAACAAAAAAAGGAATTTGGATTTTCATGTCTTGTAGGAATAAAAACACAGCTGACTTGCACTGTAAGGCAAAACTTAAAGTAAATTGAGGCATATCGTGCAATTTTGACTTATAAAGGTAAACTGTGTGTTATTGAGACTCGATAACGGGAAAATTGGAGTCATTGAGATTTAGTGACTGATCAAAAAGCATTGAAATTCAACTTATTAGGCTGAAATGTACCTTCGACTTATAGAGGTACTTTTAAAATTATGGTGACCTCAAGGGGATACATTATAGCGATGTTTTATCTGTATGAATTAATTTTACCACTATATGAACAAATATTTGATAATGATTTATTTACAAACGAATAAAGAAGTGTACTAAATCATAACGTAGTCAAAACTAACTATTTTGAACAAAGTAGGCCTATAGACCAAAGGCACAGCTGTGGCTAAGTCAATGCCCCAACATTATGATTAAGCGAGATATCAAGTAATTCATCAAGATTCTACTGTATTGCTGTCAAAGTGTCTTTGATTAGGTTAAACCATCGATGTATAATAATTCTACTGGATAGCGCGCTGTGGTGGTGGAAAAACGGTCCGTGCCCACCAGTCGAATTGGTGGGATACCGGTACCAAGGCGGACAGGCCGAATGAACCCCTCTTCGGAATTAGAAGATTAATTAACAAACAGAAGTGTAAAAATAGGAATAAAAATAATGAAGTTCAGCATGATAAGAATTATGTATGTGTGGAATATTCCCTTTCGTTACAGAATGTATTGGCCAAAGAATTAAAAAGACAAGGTGTAGAGTTAACTTTTAGGACAAATAACAAGACTATGAACAAACTTAATGTTACGAGAAAGGTTATTGATAAGGGTGACAGGTCAGGGGTATACAGAATTAAATGTGCTTGTTGTCCTAGTGTTTATGTAGGAAAAACGGGGCGCACTTTTAAAACTAGATATAAGGAGCATCATCCGAAACCAAAAGCTGACAAACAAAAGTCTACATTTGCCCAACATCTAATGGACAATAATCACAACCTAAATGACCTCAACACTGGCTTGGAAATCCTTCACACATGTACAAAAAGCAATAAATTGGACACCCTGGAAGAATTTGAAATTTACAAAGCACATACAAAAAATGACAATAGCGAACTATTTTAAATGACAACCTACAATTCAAATCACATGTAATTTTCAATAGTATTTTAAGTCAGACCAAGAGGGCAAAGTACAAATGATAATGCCGCCATTGACACGACACCGCAAGAATGACTCCAGTCAGCTACTTGCTCTTGTGCGGATATGTCTAATCAACAGGCCTGTTTAGTCAAAAAACCCCGTTTATGTTTACGTATGTGTACGTCGCGTGTGACAGTTTGTGTTTTTGTATATTAACGATGCCACTAAGGCTGAACGTCTGATGATGGCATGGATATGCTGAAACGGCCGTAACAATGTTTCAACTTCTAAGAGCTGATTGACGAAGATAACCTTATTTATTGATTTAGAACCCCTCTGTTTTACACAAACATACATTCACTCAACCTGCTCTGCTACACTTATTTGTTAACATAAAAATTTCAAATTGATATATTATTTTTCTGGAAAACCCACTGCTTATTACTATGTAGTTAGTTTTTACCTTAACATATTTTTTATAATTTATTTAGGCAAATTAAAACTGATGATTGTTTTTTAACACCATTAAAAACATGAAAAATGTAGTAAGCGAGGAATTTTTTTTATTTTTTGGTCAGGAAAAAAATTCCTGCAGCAAACTTTTAGATCAAAGTATGAATTTTATTTTTTATTTGAAGCTTTTTTTTATACGGAGTCTGCTTGTATAATTTTTAAGCGATTAAAAATAGGCTTAAAATCACTTGGCGCGGCATTGGCGCTAGGAGCTCGGCCGGCTCAGCATCAGTTTACGGGATCTAGATACTGCGTTTCTAGCATTTAATTATCATTTTATTACATCAAAAAAGTCATTACATTACGAAGAATGGTAACTAAATTTACAAGCGTATGTTTATGCATTTTAATGCTTACCGATAGTCTATAGTTTTAACAAAATTCTTTGAATCAAAGAATAAACGTTGGATTCCACAGTAGTATTTTATACCCGAGAAAATATTTTGTTATTATTTTACTTCAGTGAGAATAACCAATACATTTGATATATTGGTATTTAATATCATACTCATTTTATTTAGCAACATAATATGTTTTCCAAACATGTTAATCACAGCATGACAAATAAACATACACTATAAACAAAATATATATTCTTAAATGTTGCAAAGTATCTCAATAATAATTGGGCCTCACAGCAGCAAATGATGACATGCTTTTTGATAAAATAATTATCTAAATATATAAAAGGCAAAGCCCTCACTGACTGACTCACTCACTCACTCACTCACTCACTCATCACTAATTCTCTCACTTCCCATAAACCTAGGAGGCTGAAATTCAGTACACCGATTCTTTGGGCATTAAATAGGAAAACTAAGTAGTTTTTATTCTGATCGGGCTTTCGGGCTCCGCCCCAGTGGCTCTGGAGTTTCCCATGTTAACCTTATGATTTTTCATATTTAAAAGGAATTAATGAATCTTAACAGCTGTTTCAATTAAACAAGTTGGTTCTGTTCTATGATGTTCAATAGCATTAAAGTTACAAGGATTACCAACAGGGTGCAGCACTATTATTTCTTTTACATTTATGACAACAGCTAATTTGTAACCAAAAGGTGAGTGAGCATAGCGAACGAACTTCAACCTGGAGGCGAGTTAGCGTAGTGAACGAGCTAACCTGAGGCAAGTGAGCGTAGCGAACGAGCTAACCCGAAGGCAAGTGAGCGCAGCGAACGAGCTCCAACCTAAAGGTGAGTGAGCGCAGCGAACGAGCTCCAACCTAAAGGTGAGTGAGCGTAGCGAACGAGCTCCAACGTAAAGGTGAGTGAGCGTAGCGAACGAACTTCAACCAGGACGTGATTGAGCCATGTGAACGAGATCATCTTGAAAATTAAGAAGTTAAATGGGGCAAAGCCCGCGGGTTACAGCTAGTTGTGATATATTTTGCTCTGTTTAATGTTCAAATATTATTAATCTAACTCTTTCATAACATCACTAAATTTCTTATGAGATTTACTTTTGACACATACTCTATAAAGTGTGAGCAAGTACGTAGATTAATTATATCTGCCTATAAAACCTCCTTAAGTTCGTTACTATCAATTATTTCCACAAAACTAACATAGCAATACACGGCAAGAGCGGGCGCGACGCTCGCCACTAGGGTTACTCATGCCTTTATCCCCACTCCTCGCGGACAGAGCGAGGCAGCGGCGGACCGTTTTTCGAGACCTACTTCAACCTGAGTGCGCAATCCAGGGAGTTATTATACATCGATGGGTTAAACTGTTAAAAACTTAATATATCTAGTCGAGATTTAATTAACCGTATAAAAAAAACATTAAAACACAAAATTTATTAATAAATTATAATGAATTTCTTATTCCTGACCTTTCTCTTTGTCGTAACATAGCCTATGAACTGTGAGTATACAAAAATTGTATTTATCATCTTACAGCCTTACTTTTGCATGGAATGGCTGATATAGTAAGTTACTGCCCAAGTGGTAGTGGTAAGTATAGCTTGGAAATACAAATCTTTTATAGGCTTAATCAAAATTTTCTGTTGCTATGGTCTTTGTTGAAGTTAGGTACAACAGTTTATTGAATGAAATGTGACTAAGCAACGACGGTGGTGGTGGTTCACAGCTTATTTGTGGTGTAGGAAACCTGAACTTCATACAGCGGCTAGCCTTGCGACAATCACTCCCCGTCCACAATGGTTGTGTCAACTGTATCTGCTGGAACGACACTGGGGAATACCTGCTGTCTGGTTCCGATGATCAACATCTGGTCATATCTCACGCCTACAGTTATAAGGTATTTACATTCTTTGACTATTGTTTTAAGTAGACCTCTCATCTCCATACTACAACAGCAAACCAGAACCAGTAGGCCTGACTCAAAAAATTTCTAGTCCACGGTCATTGACTAATAGTCAAAGTCAATGGGTGCACGGTGTAGCTCTGCAGGCCTAATTCATGAGTGCTATAGATATACAGGGTGGGGCAGGGAAGTATCATTAATTTTGAAGGTACATTAAAAGACAAACCAAAAATGTTAGAACCAAACTTTATATTGGGATTTAAAGGGGACATCTGGGATTTTATTTTAATATAACTTTACTTGGTTTTAAACAGCATATCCTGCGAGTGGTGTCCCTAATCGTAAATGCTGTATTCTGGTTCTGGAGTTCATCATAACTCTGTAAAGCATTTGTTGGGGAATGTGGCCAACTTCAAGGAGAATTGCATCCTTCAACGCATCTAGGGTCCCCTCGTGAACTAGGCCTACCCTAAGCTTAGCATCATTCCAAAAGAGCATATTCTGATTATTTACCGCTCTAGAAAATGGAAGTGTGCCTCGCCACTAAACAAAACCCGAGAAAAATGAGGCAGTCCGGTTGTGTGAGATCATGAGTAACTACCATCTTGTATGGATGGAGGTGTAGGTCCTCATGGAGAATACGAGGCACAGTACGATTAGACAATGCCAGCGCGGATGCATGCTTACAAGCAGAACGTTGAGGAGACTGCAAAATCGATCTTCTGACAAGGTCAATGTTTTCAGTTCAGACAGTTCTTTGAGCTCCAAATATCCTTCGCAATACACCACCACTTACACAGAAGTCCTTCGCCCACACTAAAATGTAACAGATTTGCTGCAGGCCATCCGATAACAAGTTCACAGCGCACGCTAGCTGCACAGCAACAATAGAAATAGACTGATTTTTGAAAAAAATACATTTTGAGTGCAAAAGCACTTTGCTCACTCGAACAAGCCATGTCTACAACTAAAAGTGATATTCTAAAAAAAAATCCCAGAGCAACAGCGTAATTTGAGCCTAATCCCATTCCTTCAACACACCCCCACTACTCACAGTGCAATCTTAAAAGTAGGGATAATTCCCTGCCCCACCCTGTACTTTTAATTTTATCATTGTTCTTACACAAGGTGAGTAGGTAATCTCGACGATACTAACATAAAAAGGAATTTACTTACTAAGGTAGTAGGTACCTATTTACTTTTCAGTTGAAATATTTATACTTAACTTAATCCAAACTTAGTCCCGAGACTCCTTTATGACAAAAGCTCGCTTCCTTAGTCCTACAGACGTCCTTCTGAAGTGACAATTTATCTTAGTATAATGCCGCTGATAGTACGAAATCAAATATCTTTGTTTGTGTTACGTTTGTTAAGCTCTGTTAATTATGTTGTTTTTTTTTTTTTGTAAGCCTATGACATTAAGTCTTTTGCAAGCTTTAATAATATTGTACTTGTAAAAAAATAGTCAGCACCATTTTGTTTACTACATTTTGCACCACAGACTTAGGTAAGGAAGCCTAAATAATTAAATTTTCAACAATTTATTACTTACCATGCTTATTAGAAATTAGACAATAATAGGTATGCTTTAAAATCGGTTCTAATTATTAATATTTTTTGTAAAATCTTTTTGTAGTCCTTTTCTCTAAGATTTCACAAATTGATGATAACGCAAGCCTACTTTTAATGATACATCCCCTACTTTTATAAAAACTGTCGAAGATTTCTGTGTGATTTTGCCTTAGGGCAACACAATGACTGCATAGTTAAGATAGAAACCAGAGGATTGTATACAGTTTTGTTAAAATCGAGGAGCCAAAATTCCCATAGTGGATCCTTATTTTTATTTATCATTATTGTATACTTTTGATTAATTTAGTGCAGCAATTGTATAAATTTATTAAAATCTTATTTATTAACTTAATTATTTTGTATAAATAGAAATAAGTGTAACATCAACATGTTTGATTTGTTTGTGCTTCAATATTGAGACATTGACAAAAGTTAATAAAACATACTATCCCTTGAATTCTGGATGGATGTAAATGTACAGGTTTACCGATTAGATAGGCTATATTTTTTAGGTGATAGCCTGTGAGAGTTAGTTAGCATGTATATTTCTAGTTTCACTGTTACACATTATCTGTATAGCTTTAACACAATCATTTGGCTGTGGATGTTTGATCAATCAAGTAAACAGAACTGTTGACAGTATTATACACTCAACAGAAATTTGGGGTTGGGATATTTATAAACTTTGCGGAAGGCTGCTGCTGCCTTGGCCCAGTACTGCACGCTTCAATCTGAAACATCAACAGTTAGTTAAACTACCTGTCTTGTCTTTTGGTGATTTTTTTCTCAATTCTTACAACCTTCACAAATTTACTTAAGTATTTGTGGAAGAGATTAAACACACACAAATAGATCAAATTAAAAATCCAAATTTGAGGTTTTAAATTAATTTTTACAATAGTCCAGATTGCTAATTAAGTTTTTTAGTATTTACTTTATAGGTTTACTTTGTGATCTACATTAATCATGGGAAATGTGTTCTCAATCATGTACTTTTAAATCATTGTCATGAAAAAGTAAGAACACATTATTGAGACAGCCTTTTTCTCAATTTAATGTTGCTAAAGAACCTACAAAAAGCTTTTAAATGATTTTTTTAAATTAACTTATTATCAAAAGATCCTTCATTCACAGGAATATCTACGAATGTGAGACCGATCAATACAGTTCATAACTCAGTATACCAATAATACTGCTTATGTCATATATTTTACATAAAATATAAATATTAAAAATTATTAGTTTTTGTTTTCTGAGCCGTTAAGGTTTTTCTACCCGACCGATTTTCATAATTTTGGTCTTAAATTAAAGGTATGCACATACAGATTTGCCATGAAGCATCGACATTCATTTCTCTAAAGTATAGTTCGAGTTATGCAGAAAAGAAACTTCCTCCCTGTACATTTATTATGGGAATTAAGTTTGGGTTTTTTCTTTTCCAAGTTCGTTTGGCTCTTCTACCCAACCAATTTTCATAATTTTGGCCATAATTAAAGGTATGCACGTCCAGATTTTCCATCAAGCATCATCATTCATTTATCTACTGTATTTCTCAACCAAAAAAATATAAATTTGAATTTTTTAAAATTCTTACTTTATTTAAAGATGTATTTCACCAGTTCTAACTACATTATCCTATACAGGGTTGGGCAAATGTGTGGATACCCCTAGTAAACTTTTAATGGGTGACACCAGGAAATCTAAACTCTACATACCTTCATATAAAATAAAACTGCACTTTTTGGACGGTATCCCAATTTTTCCCGGGACCCCAAAATGGGGTATTTTTGGGGGTAGCTCCAAAATTTTAAATGTAAAGCCCCATAGATTAACCCAGTACGACATGGCGGTCATTTTAAATTTTCATCAGCCTAAGAGAAACTTTTAATGAGGTTAAATTGTACGATGAATTTCCAAATGACCGCCATGTCGTACTGGGTTGAGATAGAGACCTCTGGTTTTCGCTGATATTCTTCTTTAATAAAGGCCTTTAAAATGAGGTGTCACTCTATGGGGCTTTACATTTAAAATTTTGGAGCTACCCCCAAAATACCCCATTTTGGGGTCCCGGGGAAAACTGGGATACCGTCCAAAAAGTGCAGTTTTATTTTTTATGAAGGTATGTGGAGTTTAGATTTCCTGGTGTCAAACATTAAAAAGTTAACTAGGGGTATCCACACATTTGTCCAACCCTGTATGTTTTGACCTAAGAACCTTCAGTGAAATACCAGCTTTCATTTGATCTATTGATTATTAAGATCGGACGTACCTGAAGCACGCTGCTGAATCACGAATCATCAATAATTATAATTATTTTAGGACTTATCTGCAATCAATGATACGGAACTCCATTTTTATTTGAGTTATTTTATATGTCTTAGTCATAAAATACTCCTAAAAATAACGGCTTTCATTTGAGATATTGATAGTTTAAGTCAGTCAAGTTCAAGATGCTTTATTACTCAATCAAAAAACATATTTTATTACCATTATTGTGAACTTTATTTTGACACAAGCAACGCCGGGTGTACCGGGTGTTTCTGCTAGTAGCCTAATTTATGAAAACTAGCTATTGCAGTTAGGAATATAAAAATTAATCTCTATCATATGGACAAGATTCTATAAATTTTGCAGAGTTTCTCTTTGAAATCATTTACATTCTTTACTGTACGTAAACTTTTATGTAGTTGTACTGATAATATGGCCCATGGTGAAACGAAACTAAACTATAGTTTGGGTTTTCATAAAGTTTTTTTTGTGTCTTACTTCACAATATGGGAATGGTTCATTAGATCAAAATTTTATTCTTATTAGTGTTTTATGATGATTTACCTGATCAAACTTGAATTCCGAACATCTAAAATGTACATTGATCAAATTTTTGATTTGTGTTCCAGATGTTAACAGATTACAAAACTAGCCATAGAGCAAATATATTCAGTGCCAAGTTTCTACCATGTAGTGGAGATAAAAATATAGTTTCTTGTTCTGGAGACGGCATGATATTGTTTACAGGTAATGTTAATTAGCTATCTACAAAAATACAGTGTATTTAGGTAGGCTAAACTCGGATTTTTGTAAAATAATTGGATTAGATTTGATTAAATCTACAAAATAAAGAAAACAATTAATATATAGATAACCTACGTAGACCTACTTTTTTTAAACAAAGGGTAAGTACTAACTTCACACTCTTGTGTTGATGGCAGCTATTCAACCATTTCATTCTTTACTAAATCTAATTTTAGTGCTTTTTTACTACATATTTAGCAAAGCTGCACATTATTCTGGTTAATCACCAATTACCACTCAAATATATTTTTCCTACAGTCACCTGACAAAGTTGGCTTCCTTGTACTGTTTATAGTACAGAAAGCTGCTAATTGCTGCATGTTTATACTTTGTCGTACGGTTTATACTTTGGCGCACATCAGGATTCCAACGAAACAACACAAAACAGCGTGGTTCTATTATGCACTTAATCCGTGTACGCTTGGAAATAGGTTGGCAACACTAAAAAGATAATAATACTACCTACAGAGCAGCTGATTGACCATTTAAGCTGTTACTATTTAACCTGTCATTTCGTGCTTATAGTTTCAGTATTTCTGAACTTTCTGGACTTTTCTTTTAAACGTTTTTAAAACATTCCTACGATCTTAATAAACAAGAAAATACCTTTAAAGCATTTTTTTAGACGCGGAAACCCCTTCAAATTACAAAAACATAAGGAACTATTTTCTCAAGCCGCGGAGCATATTGCTTGCTGAGAAAAAAATAGCGGAGTGATACGGGCCGGTGACTACTTTCTCTAGGGCGCCTATTTGTGTTGCCAGCTGAACCTAAAAACGTGTTGTATAGTGTTTGAAAGACTAATTAGTTTTAAATGCTTTATAGTGACTGTAGGAAAAATATAATGTGGAACACAAGTGCAAAAGGTCTTTGCTGCACTCGAGATCATTCCGCCAAATGAACTTTAAACTTAACCTTAGTGACTTAAAATTGATTAGGGCCTGTGGTTTTATTTGTTGTTTTAGTTCCATTCTGTCCGTTATTTATAGGATTACTTATCTATTTTAACATAACTTCACTTCAATATGTTTTAAGTAAGCTAGCTACCTGTATTTAAATATTGTTGTATATAAGCTCAAAAATGTAAGCATGAATAATTGTATGTAATTTAAACTTTGCTAGCAACTTGCATGAACTCATTTTCACAATATCTATTAAATTTTTACCATATAGTAAATAAATTAGTACCATTTAGTTTTAGCGAATTTCCCATATAGGGAATAAGCTATTACCGTAGTACTCATGGTAAGACCTGGACGCGGGACCGATTTTTTTTTTCGTTTTGAGGTCCCTAGAGGCCAAAAACACCATCCGTTCAAATTCATATATATATATATATATATATATTTATATATTTATATATATATGTGTCCGTCAGCACGATAACTCGAGCAAAAATGATCAGATTTTGATGAAATTTGGTACAAACGTGTAAACCTATGTTTATTCGAACGAGTTCGCGATCCAGCATGATCGGACCATGGGAACGGGGGTTTACGGGGGGTTTTATGGGGTAAAAATAGGTTTTTCCCATTTTTGACCCAAAAAACATAAAATTTAGCAATTTCTTTCCAAACCATTTTGTAGAGCTTAAAAAAACAAATAATTTAGTATATTGAAGCGTTATTATGCGCCTAATGGTTACGGAGAAAATTCAAAAAAATTGTAAATTTAAAATTCTCATGTTATTCTTATGAAGAATAAGTAAACTGTTGTAGTTTGCTTGTTTGTGAACATATTTTGATCGAATTTGGAAAATGTTTTCATTTCTTACTAACTATTCACATTTTACAAAAAAAAAAAACAGTTTTACCCCCTCCCTGATGCAGCAAACCTAAGTACTTGTTAAACTAATTCTATTTAAATCAAGAATAAATGTTATATTTTTAAGTAGACATTTCAGTGCAAATCCAATCAGTCAAATGGAAATTCGCTTAGTCTGCAGGTTTGCTGCGGCGGGGGTATTATTATTTCATTTAATTTAATCTATACTATTATAAATGAAATATAAATGAAAATACAGTATTCGTATTTTTACTAGAGATATAATAAAATTTGCTAGTTGATGCTAACCTAAATATTTTATATTTTATTTAAAGATATATTTATTACTCATATAGGCTACCTTTTCATTTATGTATTTATAAAATTCTGCTAGTTAAGATAAACAATCATTTACTTATTAGCCATTGATTGTAATTTTATGTTTATGTAAATTATGCATTCTTTATTTATTTTTCTCTCCAATGTTAACAATAGCACACAACAATAGTCATAGGTCGGGACTGGCAGCGGGCACTGTGACAGTTGTCATGCACGCAGATGGCGATGATAACAATTTATTTCATGAAAAACTAAACTGTTTAAACCTTAATTCTACTGATGAATATTCTGCATTTTACAAGCGTAATGTTGGTGACAGCTCTATTAGTATATTTCACTCAAATATCAGGAGTTACAAGAAAAACTTTGATGAAATGTATTTATATCTCAATAATTGTATTTCAGGAATTGACATAATTGTTTTTACAGAATGCTGGCTGTCTGGAGGGGAGGGGGTGGCTACCTTGGAGGGCTTTGACCTTTATCACACTTCTACTTATCGCAATCAGAACGATGGGGTTATTGTTTACATAAACAAACATTTGTCTGCTACGGCTACTGAAATTACCATTGGGGACGTTTACGGCATTTCATTACAATTTTCTCTATTCAACAAACACTTCAATCTATTAGCAATTTACAAAACCTTTGATTGTAATGTTGAAATGTTCCTACATGACCTTGAAGTTTACTTATTTAATATCAATAAAGATCACATGGTTATTTATCTTGGAGACGCTAACATTGACATACTAAACATGAATGTTCTCTCACATAGGTACTTAAATATTTTAACTGGATCTGGATTTACACAATGCATTGACAAACCTACACGAGTGACTCAAAACACAGCAACATGCCTAGACCACATATTTATCAAATACAAAGACTTGGAGAGTGTACAGTCGGCTGTGTTACAGACTAATGTTACCGACCACTACAGCACCGGGATCACTATCACATTGGGGACACCGAACTGTCACTATGACCCACCGCCACGCACACACCTGGACCACGCACTACTCACACACTTCCTCACGCATTCCAACTGGGATCCCATAACCTCTTGTCATGACAATGTTGATTTCTGTTCCGAACATTTTACCAGAATCATCTCTAATTCTGTTGCTGCGGCTAGTAAGTTGGCTTATAACAAGAAATCTCGTTTCAAAAAGTTAAAACCGTGGATAACGTCAGACTTAATACATCAAATAAGAGTAAGAGATAAATTAAGTAAACAAGTCAAAAAGCAGCCTTTTAATAACGAACTTATTACTCGATACCGAGAAATCAAAAATAGTTTAAGCTTTTCTTTGAAGCTGACAAAAAGAAATTATTATAGAAATAAACTACACTTGACTGGTAACAACCCTAAAATGTTCTGGGGCATAATTAATGAAATATCTGGCAGAAAATGTAAAAAAGATTCCTTTCCTATTGATAAGTTTGTTCCAGCGGACCAGATATCTCCAGCCCAATGTCAAAGAGTTGCAAATGACTTCAACGATTTTTTCTCCTCTGTAGGCTCTAATTTAGCAACCTCTATCGACTCAAGTGGGGACCCAGTTGTGAATGACATTGACTTTGCCCATGATTGCACATTTACACTTCACACAATCACTGAATCCGAACTGAAACGATACATTTACAGTCTACGCGGTGGGTCAGCACCTGGCTACGATGGTATCTCAGCCGAAGTCCTGAAAGCCAATTTCCATTTGTTTAAAAAACCACTCTTACATATAGTAAATTTAAGCATTTCATCCGGTAGATTTCCTGAATGTTTGAAATGGCAAATTCATTTCCTCTTTATAAATCAAATGAATTTGCCAATATGAATAATTACAGACCAATATCTATTTTGAGTGTATTTGCTAAGTTAATTGAGAGAATAGTAAAAGATCAATTAGTTACATTTCTTCAAGCAAACAACATTTTGAGTGATTGTCAGTATGGGTTTCGCTTGGACAAAAACATTTCAGATGCACTTTTTGACATTAATAGGGTCTTAAATTCGGCAATTTCAGATAATGAACATCCAATATTAATATTTTTAGATCTTAAAAAGGTATTTGATTCAGTTGATCGATCTAAGCTTTTTTCCAAATTAGAAGCAGTTGGCGTAAGGGGTAACGCTCTTCAATGGTTTAAAAGTTATCTGTCTCAAAGATCTCAACTTGTATCAATTCTTAACACCAACAGTAATATTGAACATGTTAACTATGGTGTGGTTCAAGGCAGTACACTTGGGCCTGTTTTATTTTTAATATATATAAATAATATTTCAAAACTTAATATTTTTGGTAAACTTTTCTTATTTGCTGATGACACTTTAATTTTGAACAGGGGAAAACTTGGCTTGAGGCCCGCAACAAAGCTTTGCACGACCTAATAGAAACCAAGTTATGGTTAAACCAGAATATACTCTCTTTAAATTCATCAAAAACTAAGTTTATGCCAATTTCTTTAAGTTTAAAATCTGATTACAATCTAGAAAATCTCGTCATTCACACCTGTGGTGATTACCTCGACGCCAACTGTACATGCGAATCTATTGAAAAAGTAGAGTCATTCAAATATTTAGGAGTGGTCTTTGATTACCGTCTTAAGTGGTCTAGTCATATTCAATATTTAAACAGCAAAATTAGAAAATATATCTATGCTATCGGTCAGCTGAATCAGATTCTAAATGAAAGTGAAATGAAATTAATGTACTATGCTTTTGTTCAATCACTTTTATCCTTCGGAATCATAAGCTGGGGGGGTTGTTCTAAAAGTATTTTAGAGCCATTAAACATAACACAAAAGTTAATATTAAAAATTGGTTTTGGGAAGTGCAAGCGTTACCCATCTGACACTCTCTTTAAGGATGTGTCAGTTTTAACGATCAGACAACTTTCCTTAAAAAATGTTCTAAGTCATATTTTTAAAAATTATAACAACATTTTCTCCATAATTTCCCATACACATAATACTAGATATTCTACCCGAATTGGAATTTCATCACTACAACTATACAAATCATTTTCATCGACCAACTCATTTTATATTGCACACGTTCTATTTCGTAACTTGCAAAACAATTTTCAAAGCGTTAATCTCTTTGACTCCCCCACTTTAAACATATTCAAACGCCGTGTCAATGAGTGGTTACTTGGTCTAGGCAGGGACGAGGCTGAGCTTATCATCACAGCTGATTACAGACACAGACGCTCCTGACACGACATGCGACCTGACCATTGTACTCTGACGACTCGTTCTCCACCGCCCGCCCCACCCCCCTCTAGACACACTTTGAAAACCGTAGTACCGTAGTTATATTATTTTTTATTTAAACTTAATTATGCCACTAGTTTTTTTTCACATGGTTTGCTCTTGTAACTCCATTTAGACCATATCTTCACCTCATCATATCTTCTGTTATTTATTTATTTATTTAGATTTTGTTTTGATAAATAATGTAATGTTTGGATGCAACTGCAGTCGACGCACAGGCTCGCTGCCCATGTCGGCTATTCTTTATAAACATGTACGCTTTGTAAACATATATGTAATGCAAAGGTTAATTTTATGTTATTCTTTAAATTCACTTATGTTTTTCTCCTTTAAATATGATTTGTGTACAAATTTCTGTAAATAATTTGTTGGAATAAAGATATAATTCATTCATTCATTCATTCATAAAAAAGAGGTGGTTGCTGTATGTGTGTATGTGTGTATGGGAAAAGTAAACTCAAAAAATACTGGTCGGATTGGGCTGAAATTTGGCATGATGATAGCTCACATTCCCGATTAACATATAGGCATATTCTTATTTCAAAAATCCTTTCGGGCTCCGCCCCAGTGGCTCTGGAGTTTCCCATGTTAACCTTATGAGAAATGGAATTATTGAATCTTAACAGCTGTTTCAATTAAACAAGTTGGTTCTGTTCTATGATGTTCAATAGCATTAAAGTTACAAGGATTACCAACAGGGTGCAGCACTATTATTTCTTTTACATTTATGACAACAGCTAATTTGCAACCAAAAGGTGAGTGAGCGTAGCGAACGAACTTCAACCTGGAGGCGAGTTAGCGTAGCGAACGAGCTAACCTGAAGGCAAGTGAGCGCAGCGAACGAGCTCCAACCTAAAGGTGAGTGAGCGTAGCGAACGAGCTCCAACCTAAAGGTGAGTGAGCGTAGCGAACAAACTTCAACCAGGACGTGATTGAGCCATGCGAACGAGATAATCTTGAAAATTAAGAAGTTAAACGGGGCAAAGCCCGCGGGTTACAGCTAGTATCCTTTAAAACAACTATTTTTGTTAAAAACCTCCACAGAATGTATTTGATTTGTTTTTTCCATCAACATTTTCTAGTTATGTGGTTCTTTTTTCACACATGGGGGCATGGATAAAATCCCTAGATAAAACTGCATCGGTAAAATTTGTTACCTATTTTAACATTAAGTAACCTATCTCCAAAGCCTACATTTATAGTCGTGTATCTCATTAGTTTGTAACATCTATCAACAAATTCAATTATACAGTCTGACAGGTCCAAGAAGGCACGTTGCAAGTCAGATGAAACGCTGATCAAGTCTCAAGGTTGAGGAGGGTAAGTCTCGGGTAGCTGGCGATTCGGAGGTAAGGCTTTTTCCCCGCCTGTTGCATTGGGAAATGTAAAAAATATTTAAATTATAAAAAAGACATAATGTTTACATGAGCAAGAAAAACAATATATTGAAAAAGTAAACAGAATAAAATAATAAAATATGATAAATATACACATATGTTAAATACAGGTCAAGGGGAAAAAGTCTTCAACACCGCCATTATCCACATCTCCCTATACCGCCCAGCGCATTGGTGCCATCTTAGTTCTTAGATCTGTCTGATTGTTACCGGCTTATTATTTCATAGTTTATCATTATATTATAATAGATATCTCTACTTTATTTCATTTTCAGACTTGTTCAGATCTACAGAGACCTGTAACAACCAGTTCAATTGCCACAAAGGTACGACTTACGAGATAGCGACAGTTCCTAATGAGCCTCACACTTTCCTCAGCTGTGGAGAGGACTACACAGTTAGATACTACGACCTGAGAGTCAAGGAGAAGTGCTACAAGGAAAACTGTGACGAGGTAACAGAATCTTGGTGTACGACCTTTTGAGAAATATTTTATATAGCCTCCACTTAGATTCTTGTACAAATGGACTCTTCCAAGTTGGAGCATACCAACTTGATGGAAGTATTTTATTGCGGGAAGTACATATTCCGTTAGTTCTATTTTTATCACACCGTGTCATTTAAGAAAATCGTAATTTGTGGAAATTATCATGATATTGTTGTAATCACGGATGTCGCCATCATCTCGGGAGATGATGATTATATTGGAGTGATTTTATACAAATTATAAATTACAATATAATAGTGAGGATTGATTTGTGCTATATCATTATCAAGGCAAGTGGATTCTTCGCTGTTTAATCGATAACTTGGTGATCGATGGAAAAATTTTGAGTAACTTTTCCGTGCCTTGATAAGTTTAAAAATTGTAGCAGTACAGTTAGTTAAATCAAATCAAATCAAACTTTATTGTCACAAAACGTTTATACATTGCTTAGCTACAGAACAGGTGACATTGTCAAAATTATAATAAATACATTGTTGATCATCTTACATTCTATAGTTAAAAAATTAAATACAATAAAAATAAAAATACTGACTTTGATTTAAAAATAGTTTACAACAAATACTCACTAATATGGTAGTAGTTTTTTTCTATTAAAAATTTTGATAGATTCTTTTTAAATGACATTGTATTGGCTATATTTTTTAAACCTAGTGGTAACTTATTGTACAGTTTTTTCCCCATGTATGTTGGTGTCTTTTCAATGAGACGCAGACGATGGATCGGTAATTGAAAATTATTTTTAAACCTTGTGTTGTATCTGTAGTCAAAATTATCATTTAATAAATTTTCATAGTTTGATTGTACCATTACTAAGGTTTTGAATATGTATAAATTTGGAACAGTTAAGATATTTAATTCCCTGAACAGCGATTTACAAGATTTCCTAAAATATGAGAAAGTCATTATTCTTAAAAACCTTTTCTGTACTTTAAAAACTTTAACTGAATCACATGATAATCCCCAGAACTCAATCCCATAGTTAATAATTGAAAAAAAGAAAGCATAGTAGATATCAATTCTAGTTTTGAGGTCAATATAATTACGTAGTACTAGCATTTGATAACAGGCTGAATTTAATTTACTAATAATATTATCAATACAATTACTCCAAGAAAAATTAATATCCAGTTCCAAACCAAGGAAATTTGCGCTGCCACTGAGTGGTATCAACTGGTCCTGAAAGATAATTTCTGAACTGTAACCTTCTTTTGACTGTGCGGTACGAAAATTTAATAGTTGGGTTTTATCTTGATTAAGTTTTAGTCCATTAACTTCAAACCAGCTTGCCAATTCATAGAAAGTTTGATTAATTTTATGCTCCAATTCAAAATGGGACCTAGCTTTAATAATTGCTGTTGTGTCATCTGCATATAGAATGATTTTTGTTGAAACATTCCTAGGTAAATCATTTATATATAGTAAAAAGAGCAAAGGTCCTAAGATAGACCCTTGTGGGACACCCATTTTAATGTTCTCCCAAGGAGACTTAGATACTAAATAATTTTTAAAAATTACAGTTCTTTGGAACCGGTTTTCCAGGTATGATTTAATCCATGTAATTGATTGCTTTGAGAATTTGTACACATCAAGCTTTTTTAAAAGTATGCTATGGTTAACACAATCAAAGGCCTTGGAAAGGTCACAGAAGACCCCCATGGTACTCTGTGACCCATCCAGAGCCCAAGATACTTCGTTAACAAGTTCATTTAGAGCCCCTACTGTACTGTGACCTTTTCGAAATCCAAATTGCTCAGCGACCAAAACTGAGTGTGCGTCTAAAAATGTAAAAATTTGATTTAGTGCTATCTTTTCAAAGATTTTTGAAAAAGAAGGAAGAACTGAAATAGGACGATAATTATTAGGATTTTCTTTTTGTCCTTTCTTAAAAAGAGGTTTTACTTCTGCAAACTTTAAATTTTGAGGAAAAACTGAAAATTTAAAAGATTGATTTATTAAAATCGATACAGGAACAGCAATAGAGTGCATTACTTTTTTCATAATATCCAATGGTATTTCATCCCATCCTGCTGATTTTTTATTTTTTAATGACTTTATTGTTTTAATCACATCATCTGGAGTCACATTTGTGAAACTAAATTTTACTTGATTTAAATCAAAGTCAGTCTGAGTTAAGATTAATGCTTCCTGCTCACATGGTTGAATACTTATATCATTGCTCAGTTCAATAAATTTTTTGTTGAAAAAACTAGCTATATCATATCCATTTTTTATAGGCATACTGTTATCTGTTACAATATCAGGAAAATTAAGACAAGGTTTATTACAACCGAGCTCAGATTTTACAACTTTCCAAGCAGCTTTACTCTTATTTTCTGCATTTTTTATAAGACTAGAATTATACATTTTCTTTGACAATTTACAAACGTTACTGAAGATCTTTTTATAATTTTTAACATAATTAATAAAATGTATATCGTTTGACTGCTTTGCTAGTCTACTTAGCTCTCTCTTTTTAATGCTCGATATCTTAATACCATTTGTTATCCATTTTTTGTTGTTTGAAGGTTTAACTTTGTTACAAAAAAATTTCAAAGGAAAGCATTCATCAAAAATTCCTTGAAAACATCCAAAAAAGTTTGAACAGTTTTCCTTAAACGTTTTATCTAGTGAAATTTGCCAATTAGTAATACTGATTTTTTTAATGAACGAATTAATGTTTTTATTTGAAAAAAATCGTCTTTTAACCCTAGGTAAATCAGTTTTGTGCTGAGATGAAATATTTCTAGAAATATCCACAAAGATTGCCCTATGATCTGATATACCTAGTTCTAGGTTCATTGATGGAGTTACTTCACACGTTTTTAACTTTAGTGATAGTATGTTATCAATACAAGAAGCTTTATTGTTGGTTATCCTTGTGGGAGAAGTTAAGTTTGCAATGAAACCGTATGTCTCTACTAAAGAAAGAAACTCAAATCTTTGCTGTGGTTTATTTGTGTATTCCAAAACATCAATATTGAAATCCGCTGCAATGTAAACATTATTTATTTGGTTGTCTTTGTTAAGAATCCTTAATAAATCTTCAAACTTATTTAAAAATAATTTAAAGTTAGAATCATCCGGTACTCTGTAAATAGATATGACAATTATTTTTAAATCAATAACCTCTACACAAGACATTTCAAAAACAGAATCTAAATTAAAAATACATAAATCTTCCCTAATTTTATATTCTAATTTATTATTTAAAAGTATACACGAACCACCATAACCACAGTTATCTCTACAATAAAAATGTGCCAAATTATAATTTTCAAAACTATTTAAAATATCAATATTTCCTCTACTTAACCAATGTTCATTTAGGCAAATAACAAGTATGTTTGAGCTATCTAAAATCACCTCTAAATCTATTTTCTTATCAATCAGACCACCTTGAATATTCAACTGTAATAGCCAATTATATTTCTTATCTATTTTGATTTCTTTACATACAGGCCATACTCTATTTACATTTGTAAGACTGTGAAATTGGTTGCAAAATAAACAAAAATTGTCTACATTTAAGTGGTCTGTATAGTCTTGTTTACGGTTTCGTTTTTTGAGAGAACAGGGTTATCTTTGGCATTGGACAGAGATTCATTACTATTTACATGATTTACAACTAAAACACTATTTACAATAGGAGACCTGTGGCTTGTAGAACACACCTTGTCTACCTTTGGGGTACTGGATGCAGGGCCAGTTGAGACGTCAAGGTCGGTTGTGCAGATTAGATCGGATATGATCAGATTAGTTCCCAGGTTCTAGATTGTATTTCGTAAACTTTTTGCTCAGTTTCAGATTTAAATTCAAGGATCCGGATTAAAGATTCAAATTTGTTGGATTGGCCATTTTTTAAATTGCATTAATGAATCAAGACAAAAAAATCAACCTAATTCATAATGATCCATTAAGAAGAATCAGGATGTTTATTTATTTATACAGTTAACACATTCTTTTAAAGTGTGACATGTATATGACATTTAAAATTAAATATATATAGGCTACATATACTGGGTGTCCGGTACATCATAAAGGTGATTCAATGAAGGCCTATTTGAGGTTCCCAACTCAAACGGTACCGTAAGAAAAAAAGAGAATTAAGATTTTTTTAAATTATGGTGGTTTTTATGAAAAAAATTATATTACTATGTGAGAAAGATATCTATTGTAAAAATAAAGGTTAATATTTTAAATCCTCACAAGATTTACAATAATAATAATACATAAACATTGTGGTATTGAATGAGATTTTACTTAAGTTTCATCGTAAAAGTTAAAATTTTCAACGAAGACAAAAACTTACTCTTTTAGCATAAACCTCTCCATCTCTAGTCCCGACTCTAACGGATTACAGTAGAGTAACAGTGTATTGTGTAATACTATAACAATATAGACTACCAACCGGACGACCGAGCCAAGTCGAAGTAATCAAACAAAACAAGTCAGTTCGAGTTAAGTGAAGGAGAGAATTCACTATTCGCTTAGTCACTCACTCAACTTCACTTCACTTTACTGAGCAGTGGTTGGCTATAAACAAGCCGTTCTACAACCTAAACGATTTTCTAGAACTTCCTAGACCTTTAAATATTGAGTAATGTTTGTATATTTTGTCCTGTAGCTATCCAAATCTGCATACACTTTTAATTCTCTTTGTATTTATTGTTTTGACCTGTTTTACCAGTTGACTTGAGAGAACCACTTTTTGACTATGATAGTGGTTTGAAAGTTATTAATTATTGTAGGCTGTACCAAACCGCATTTGCACAAAGTAAAATGCTGTACCAATACAACATTAGGCAATAATTATGCTAAAACAAAACCGTATCAATTTCTTTGATACACCGCAGTCCCCAATCATATATGAATCTAAAGCGTACCCAAGGTTTATTCATCATGTGATTGATGGTTTATTCCAGGACGTACTGATATCGTGTCAGAGAGCCGTAACTGCTCTAGCCATCAACAACATCCGTCCCTACCAGATGGCCATCGGATGTTCTGACAGCACTGTCAGGATATTTGACCGCAGGATGATTGGCACCAAGTCTTCTGGTTAGTCTGTGTATTTTATATATGTTGGAGAGGGTGCGGCAAAAAAAGAGATCTATTTTATGCAGCCCTCTGTTCCTGAGCAACGTGCGTTTGTTATCGAGTCAAATTTAAAAAGTAATAATTCAGTTATTGCAACTTAGCGGCAGTTCCGTGCATTTTTTTAATTAGGGCGACGTGAATTCCGTCAAGTAGCACAATCATGTGGTGGATTACCAGATTTAGAACAAGGGCTTCTGCGTTTTAAAAAGATGCTGGCAGCCGTCCAAAGCAGTTAGGAAGCAAGACAAATAACATTCGATAGAGTTCGTGCAGCTGTGGAAAAGGGTCCTCGTAGGCTCGCCCGAAAATAAGCATCAGCTTTGAACATGTCTCATCACTCGGTTACACTAATTTTGAGTTCGCTCTAAATTATTATCTCTACTGAGTAATTTGTATCTGTTGTAGTGTTGTTGGTTATCCATACGAAACCTAATCGCGATGAAACCTCTCTATGTCGACCTAATTTAAAGAATGCTTGGAAATGCTGCCGAGTTGCAATGACTGAATCATTACTTTTTTTTAACGACTCGATGACAAACTCGTGTTGCTCAGGTGACCACTGCTCTGTGACTACAGATAATGACATCATGAAGGCTTTCCAACGAGCCTACCCCCAACACCTTCAGACAACCTGTCGCTGCAGAAAATGCGGTTATTTGCCACACTATATTTAAATAGTCTTAATATACAAAAACACGCTCATACAAACATGTACAATGGAAACATATTACCATCAACGTGACTTTATTTTTACCCACTTTTATCTCAAAAATTAAATTTGGATTAAAATTGACTTTTATTTTCCAAAAATACAGAACATTTTTATCTGTGTAAGGAAGTGGTTTGGTGTGTTTGTAAAAATTAGCTGTCCATTAAAAATTATTTTTCTATATATTTATATAAAATCACTGTATCACGATATTATCAACTATATTGTATTTATATTATATTTTTTACTTTGGTGGATTCAGGGTGTCAGTAGTCAAGAAAAACGGGAAAGTCGGGAATTAGTATTGAATATCAAAATGGTCCTGTAAAGTCGGGATTTGGTCTTTAGTTTGATATCAAGGTCAAGAATTCTCATGATTTTGCCATGATTGCGCTAGACGACAATCACGTTTCTGTGACCGCGCAATACCACAATCATGTTTTCGTGACCGCAAGAGATGTTCATGATTTTTTTTTTTTTTTTTTTTTTTTTTTTTTGTCCTAAGACGCTAGGCACGAACCTGGGATTGTTTTTCACATTACTTCAGGCTAGACCTAGGGGTTGCGGCATTATCACTTGGATAAAATCCATTGGTGACTTGGCGGGGATCGAACCCGGGACCTCAGGGACTGAAGTCCCGCGCTCTAACCACTACGCCAGCTCGCTCCCCACGATGGGGTGATAGCACGATGTTCATGATTAAGATCGTGCTAGACGACGATCACGTTTTTGTGAACGCAGGAAAAATTATCATGATTTTCCCGCGATTGCGCAAAACGATGATGTCTACACACCCGTGGAAGGTGTCCATGAGTTTGCTGCTATCGTGGACAAAAAGATGACACAGTGACCGCAGGAGTCAATGATGATGTCCACATGGCCATGGGAAATGTTCATAGTTTTGCCGCAATCATGGACGACGACGGTGACGTTTCAGAGACCGCAGGAGATGTTGATGACATTTCCGTGACCGCGGGAGACGACAATGATGTCTACACGGCCGTGAAAAATTTTCATGATTTTGCCACAATCACGGACGACAACGAAGACGTTTCCGTGACTGAGGCATTCAATGATGATGTCTACACAGCCGCGGGAAATGTTCATGATTATTTCCCCAATCGCGGACCACGATAATGACATTGCCGTGACCGCAGGAGTCAATGATGTTGTCTACACGACTGTGGGAAATGATCATGTTTATGACATTAAGACAGGGGTTGGTGTAGTACAGTAGACCCCCTCTTAACCGACCCTAATGGGACCGGACCTAGGTCGGATAATTCAAAAGGTCGGATAAAACGGGCAATCCCTAAAATCATAACATAATGAAGTGCTATTCATTTAGAATGATATAATCATTATTTTGAAGTCATACTTGCATTATTTATAAAATAAACTACTCTTATCTCCTTTTTCATTTTGATAGAAATGTCACAAATAAACACAAAACACGGTTAAGTCAAATAGGCCTACTTTCAGTGAATATATTATAATACTAGGCAAGAGTCAATAAAATTCCTATTTTAATAACATTACTACTGTAGTGTATTAATTAATGCTTTCCAAATACATCGTAATACAGTACAGAACCTTTTGTCGTCATTAAAGATACAAGCGACAATTTTGTTACAAGACAGGACGTTTATTTATGGCCACTCACTGGGAGGTTCGAGGCACAAAAACTATCTTGACCTTGGAGTTGTTCCCTGCCCTCCCTACAAGTTGCATTGTTTGTTTACTCCAGAGATAAGATAATCAGTTCTCAAAATCGTAACGCACTTTATGATGTTATAAATTTGCCGCACAGATAACATATCTGATCAGATGTGCTCGAGCTACGAACAATGATGACAAACTGACAATAGGCTATGCTATATTTTTTGTGATCAACACAAAATAACTTATTGTTAGTCATATCCTGTGGAGATAAGCGTATGGTTCAGTTCTCATCGCCCAGCGTGGGAGCGGAAATGCCGAGATTCCTAGAAAGCGGCGGTCAAACCGAGCTGCTCTCAAAGCAAGGTCGGTTAAAACAAACTGTATTATTTTACGATCAAAGGCGGATAATCCGATTATCGGTTAATACGAGGTCGGTTAAGAGGGGGTCTACTGTACAACCAAATTATTCTGAAAATTTGGCTAAGCTATAAAAATTGGTATCGGTATCAAGAATCGAGAATTGATACATTTTGGTATCAATACATTACTAATTGTTGAAAAAACTAGTCTTGAAAAATCTAGAATTAGTCTTGAAAAGTCTGGAATTAGTCTTGAATTTTAAAATGGAAATAAACTAGACACCCTGTAGGATTACCGAACCATCCATCCGAATAGCTTTAAACTTTGATCAATTGTCCGATATATGTGTGGGATGTATGACAGGAAGGGCTGGAGGTCGCAGTCCAAGGCCGTTTGTATCTTTCACAGCCCCAGGCATGGAGGACCGCAGTTACCGCATTACATCCCTTGGCTTCTCACCACAGGGGGAGGATGTATTGGTCAGTTACTCCTCAGAACACCTCTACCTGTTCAGCATCAAGGTAGGCCTATTTTAATCACACATTACTCATCTATAATTAATTGAGGTACTAACAGTTAAATGTTCTGGTCTTTAACATTCATAAATGAACAATACATGGAAGTTATACTAACTGACCAAATTAGTTTTTTCCTTGATTGCTCAATATGTTATTAGGTATTTGTATAAAAAAAAAGGTTTTTTTAGAATTTGTAGTAATATACGATTAATTTGTTATATTGTTTCTTGCTCCTACTATTAATTCATTGAGTGCGAGGGGCGGGAATTCTCGTCCCGCTGTACTGGCACCACTGGCAGGGGGCAGGAAATATCGTCCTCCGCACAACAACAACCTTGCTTTAATGTGAGCTCAGCCTCGCACAGGGAACGTTGTTTCCGATTGCAGCTTATTGTGCCAGTTTTATACTTCAATCCAGTATAATTAGTTTTTGGATACGACTTTGAAATCGGTTGAAGGGATTGTTCCAAATTAAGTGTAGTGTGGGGTTTGGTCTTGGATTTAGTGAAATGGAATGGAATAATGATAATAATTACTGCATTGAAGCATTGTGGAAAACCCTAAACTCAAAATTACGCTTCATATATTTTTGTTTATCCTGTTTTTTCCCTCCATTTGGCAGTACAGAGAGCCTGCTGCTTTATTGCTGATTTCTATGGATGCTTTCTATAGATGCTTTCTATGTTTAGTGCTGCTATCTGTTGGGTCCTTGTAAAACTACGTCCTCAACGACTGTCAGATTTGTTTGTATATTCTACTCTCGTTGCTCGGTGTTACAGGACGAATGTTCCACGGAGTATTCTGTTGAAGCCAGTGGAGATGAGGAGGAAGAAGAGGCTTCTAAGCCTATGAGTGGACTTCCCCCTGTGAGGAGACTAAGACTGCGAGGTGATTGGTCTGACACTGGACCTGACGCACGGCCAGAGCGGGATACAGGCAGGTCTACAGGTACAGTAACTATCAGCACACCACCTCTATCGATCACAGAACAAATTGGAACAAATCCTCATCATATCTCCTGTCATTTATTTATTTATTTATTGCATTTGATAAATAATGTTATGTTTGGACACAACTACAGTCGACGCACAGGCTCGCTGCCCATGTCGGCTTATTCCTTATTAACATGTACGCTTTTTTTTTAACATAGATGTAATGTAAAGGTTAATTTTATTTTATTCTTTTAAATTCACTTATGTTTTTTTCTTCCTTTAAATATTTGTGTACATATTATGTAAATAATTTGTTGGAATAAAGAGATAATTCATTCATTCATTCATTCATCCATTCTATTTTCTCAAAAACTTAAAGCTGGGTTTACACGATGCCAGTTGGCGAGACAATTGTCAGGAGACAACTGACTGGCTTGGAATTACTGGCTTCGTGTAAACCCGCCAATTGTCCCGAAATTCAGTTGTCTCCGGGAGTAGACTGAGGACAATGAGCTGGGCCCAGTGAGGCCCCCACCCCTCGAAAACCCAGTTGTCGTGACAATTGGCACCGTGTAAACGGTGTAGAGGCCAATAGCACTGACTTGTCTTTTGACAGTAGTACCCTGGTTCACTGTAAAATGCCTGGGCAAGTGTTGGCCACGTGTGAACAGGTTCTCGTTCAACTTGCCTGGCCTACGACAATTCCAAAACCACGTGATGCCAATTGGCAAAGACAATTGTCTCACCAACTGGCATCGTGTAAACCCGGCTTAAGATAAAGATGGAAGCAGAGATATTGGACGATAGTTGTTTACATCTGAAGCATCACCTTTTTTTGGTACCGGGATAGTTTTAGATTTTTTTAAATTTAGTTGAATATGAACCAGTGATAAATGAAGAATTGCTCAGGTGACTAAGAATTTTACTGATATCCCTTTTCACTTCCTTCAACACAGTTACTGGAACCTCATCATACCCAATCAACTTTGTACTTTTCAATGAAAGCAAATATAAGCAAAATTATCTTTTTTGTTTTAACTGAATGTTTAGCTAATGTAAGCTTGCCACCACCTTTTGTGGAACTCTGGGCATAGTAATTACTTATGTAAAAACCTTGAACATTTAATCTTTCAATGAGAGATTTTTTTCATATTGTGCTCACTGAGCACTATTACTTTCACTGGACAGGCCTTTGCACTTAGCACTATTTTCTAAATCAGCAACCAACTGTAGTGGTGTAGACAACGAGTCGTTTTGTCTCCTTTTCAGCTCCACTTACTTGGACATCTGGTTCTGCTGCTTGTTCAGTAGTGCTGTTCATCAATAACCATTAGTATTCTGGTTGTGTAGATGCTGCACAAGCCCGACCAACACTGCACGCCACACTGATGCAGCGAATGACTGATGTATTATCTCGGATGTTGAATGATCCGGCGACCAGGGCTGCTCTCAGTCATGGAGGGGACGATGATAACACAGAGTTCATTGTAGATAATAACAGAAGGTACGTCATGTCATGTCTTTGGCTTGCGTTTTGAGTAAAATCAATGTAGGCCTAAATCGACTATTTTATTTGTAAGTGAGTAGGCCTATGGTATTGAACTAACATGGAATTAAAATATTCTTTACATCAAAACTTAGTGATATGATCCCTCTAGCTGTCAATTACTTTGTAAGGTATAATTCACCGTCAGATGTTTGGTTATTGCTGTGAAGTGGGATCCTCAGACAAGGCTGATGGCATTCTAATCTTATCTGCATACTGGACATGCAATATATAATAAGTTTTAACATAGTAACTAAGTGAAATGTATAATTAAATTTAAAAGTTCAACAAGGCCAATATATAATAAATTTTATATATAAATTATATATATATAATTTATAATATTATATTAGGCCTATATATAAATTATAGTAACTAAGGATGTCGCTTCACATCAAAGGCAAAATGTATAGCAGTGAATTTCATCTGGCAGTTCCTGGAAATAAATAAATATTCAACATACGTTCCGTGGAGATATTCCACTTTAACCTTTTGGGGTCTTTTTAATTCATTACTAGTTAGCCCCGTTAGGCCTCTTTAATCTACTGCCAGCCTGCTCAAGAGGTCTTATTTGATTTTCAGCCAAATAGCATGTTTTTTACTGATATTCAAATATCTAATCTTGTATGCAGCCAATTGTCATGGAAATTATATTTTTCTTGTTCTAAACAAGATATAGAATCTAGAAAAAATAAAGATATACATTGAAAAAAATTTTACATGTATGTATGTATATATATATCCTATTGAAATAAACAAATAAAACGATAATTTATAATTTATACAGTGTTTTTTTTTCCATATGTCCATGTATTTTGGGTTCAAATTACTCTAAATAGGTGCCTAATTGAAAGAACTATTATAAAAGTTATAAATTGAACCTATGTATTCAATTTATTAGTTGTACATAGCAGTAAATAAATGTAAATAGACGGCAAATACTATTCGCAAATAAAAGCTAATCTAACAAACTTACCAGTCAGAAATTAAGTTGAACTAAATTACTGGTGTTGGTTAGGCTTGATTCATTGTCTCACTTCCTTATTGACATAAAATTCCACAACAGTTTATGGGATGCTAAAATAATAGTTATATACATAGTAAAATTCACAAAGAAAACAAATAAAAAAATTGAAAAAATTAAGTTTTTTCTCCTAAAAGAATTGTTCTAATAACTAAAAGGCCTATTATTGTTTTGTAGTTTATTTTGAATCTAGTTTAGGCCTATTGTCTTGTGTAAGGGGCCTAACTTCAATTTTTGAACTTTTTGTTTGTATGATATTTGTCAAAACAGTTGTTCGGATGAAGTCCGGGTTTGCTAGGACACGTAGCACAGTAAAAACTGGTCTCCTTTCGCCCTCCTGGAACCTTTCTGTTGGAACAAACTGCACAGTCTTTAGTTTTTTTCCCTTCTTGTACTTTCAGGGAATGGTACATCCCATTCAATCTAACACCATCATCTCCTTCTGCAGAGTGGCGACGACCCCGTTTGCGGCTTAGGTTTCGGACATCACCAACCAGTTCTTTTATAAGTTCTTTTCTGTACGTTGAATGGATAACTGGTCTCAAATTGTTTTTTTCTCTTTCAATATTGTACAAAATGAAACTATTTACTATTGACACTTCTAGAATCCAAAAATACAATTTTCTCCACCACTTCAAACTTTTTTTGGCAAAGCCGTAGCTGGTGCAATAATGATCATTCCGGTCGACGCCCCCCATCTTGGCTGTATAGTCACATATTGCTATAGGCTTAGGGATGGTTTCCACAACATTTGTTTTGACAACTCTTCTTATTAGTTGAGTTTTAGGGTTGTGATTCGTACTCATTAGACACACATCCCGCTTATCCTTCCATGCAAGGGCTAGAACATCTTCTTCTTAATGTTTGAACGCAATAACAGCGTGTTTAGCAAGTCGTTTCAAAGCCTTTTTCTTCATACACTTTGGAAGGAGTTTTCTTTTTAAGTCTAAAGTTCCAGTCAAGTAAATGCCTAAAGCTTTTAGTTCTAAGGCAAGGTCTAGGCTTGTGTACAACCGATCGGTATATAAGACGTAACCAGTTCGTTGAGTAGAATTTTGTAAATTGACAACCAATTGGTAGATAATTCTTGTAGTGAATGGCAGATCTGGTCTAATTAGACTATTTGTTGTCAATGATCCATAGTAAGGTATCAGACTGCATACGTATCCATTCAAAGAATCAGCTAAAACATACAGTCTCAGGCCCCATTTCACTGGTTTCTTAGGGTTATACATCTTGAAAGCAACTCTACCCTTAAAACTAACCGTAGATTCATCAGCAGATAGGAACTGATATGGCCTATATAATTCTAAAAACTTGGAACCAACATAATCCAACACATTTCTAAGCTTACTAGCCCTTGAGTGCATTCCTCGAACATTAGGAGAAGGGGGTGATACATGTAGTGCCCAAAATATCTGTAGGTATCTTTTACATGAAAAAACGTCTTTGAAAAAAGAGCTGGAATCCACCCAATTATCTGAAAAAAAATCTTTCAGGGTTGTCTTGGCTTGTCTACCCATGTTCAGCAACACACCATGAAAAACCATAATTTCATTTGCCGTTACATCTTTCCAATCCCACCAAATACTATTTTTTCTGAGAGGAGTAATTTTGGCTATCTTTTCCTTGATGTAACGATTCGTCTCATTAGCAATTTCCTCAAACAATTCTAGAGTAAAAAACAACATAAAAAATTGTAAAGGTGTGGTAGGCCTAGGCTGATTTTGAGGAGGAATGAAACCACAATTTTCGTTGGAAAAATCATTGATTTGAAAATCTGGGGTATCATCGTCCCAAACATCCCACACATCGTCGGGTGTTGCAACCAGAGGTGATTGGGGCCTACGGCCACGTCTACGTATAGGTTCAGGCCTACCTGGATCTAGATCGTCTTCCACTATTTCCTCTTCAAACTCACTTTCTTCGTGGTCACTATTCTCATTACCACTTTCCACCTCACTATTGTTATCATCGTCGGACAATATAAAATCCGGATCAATGTCGTCGTCGTCCACTTCACTATAACTATCTAACAAGCCATCAATTTCCTCTTCATCAAGATAGTCTCCACCACCACCACTTGTTGACGCCATTTAGACCAGTTTTTATGTAAAACAGTTAAAAAAGAGTTCTTCAATAAACTAAAAAACAGTAACTAAAAACTTCGTAAACATGAACCAAAACATCAACACTACTTTTTGGTTACGACGACAGACACTGTTGTGTTGCTAGGCAGTGAAAGTGAAACAGCGTCGAACAAACAGTCAGCTGTTTGCATAGAGTAAAACACGCTTTAAACGCAATACTTTGCTTCTAAATTACTCTCGGCATTATTGTCAGTAGTTCGAAGATCACAGTCCATACAATAAACAGACGTCAGATGGTCAAAACCGAAAATAAAGTGACGTAACATTTTGTCGGACTGAATCCGACAACGGACTGGAACAGCCATATTGCTATGTCGGACTCAGTTCGCCTACGGACCGGAACGGCCATTTTGCTATGTCGGACTGAGTTCGCCTACGGACCTCAAAAGGTTAAAAAGTAAATAGTGTTACAGTATTACATTTTTTTTAAATATCAATAACTCATTTGTTTTGTTTTACACAAACTTAATTTTTATTCTCATCATTGTGTTTCAGTGATCGGCCAGAAGAGAGCTCTGGTGTCAGAAGCCCATCACTTACTGGAAACGATGTACCAGTAGCAGTATCCATTGAAGGAATATACTCAGAATCAAGTTCACAACCGGTATGATAATTTAGTAGATGTAATGTGTCGCCGTTGGTACTTTTTTAGTCGGTACGCCTACCGGTACTTGGTTATGTAGATTCTTGACATCACCTATTGGTCATTATCATCATTGATAATTTCTTATCGGTACCTAATACATAGAGCTTATTTTTGTAAAGTAAGTTACAAATTTGGCTCAGTTGGCATTTGCTTACATGACACTCATATTGTAAATATATGTTGCTTGCTTACTCACAAATAGGTGTATTTTTGTGATTTATGGGTTTATTTGAGGTGCAATGCAGGCAATTTTAGGTTTTAAGTTTATTAACACATTCAAAACCTGGTTAAATGAAGAACTTTGCAGCAGTTGATCATTATAATATAAGTAAGATATAATGGCAGCTAAAATTGTTTGCAAGTAATGCAGTTTGTAATATTGTAAATGAAATAAAGTTACAGTATTGTTAGCCAGGATGACCTGCTGACTAGGAAATAGGGATTGTACTTGAATTTGTAGGGCAGGGAAAAGGTTTATGAATTATAAATAAATAAATTTAACGAATAACCATATTCATTATATAAATAAATATAATAAATTTCATGATCATGAAATTTGAACTGTAAATAACTATCACAAAATAGCTTATAGAGGAGGGTACATTTCTAAATGGTGCGTTTTTCCTTTTCTTTTCACTTTGCAGCATCAAGTGCAATAAATGTTTAAAACCTGCTTTTGTTATACTGTCACATGAGGCAATATGTTATAGTAGAGAGTGCACATATCTCAGTAGTGTTTCCCTGTGTTGTATCAGGATGCAGAGACGGCTGATGTGACCACAGAGTCATCACAGGTGAGATGGTCTCCTCCCCTCGCCTCTCCTACCCCTACAGCTGCTGAGGACTCTGTCTCTCTACCATCCTTTGAATCGTCCTTCACCCCTCCCACTCCCCCAACCATCAGTCCCCCAGACAGTCAACCGTCCACGTCTGCTGCTGGTAGTGGTGGTGACGCCAGTACCAGTGGCACCAGGGACCCCAACCTCAGTACTCTCACTGACCAGCTGTCCACCATGCGGCACGGCTTCATTGAGAGGTAAGACCTACCTAAAGGTATAATTTCTGTGTATTTGCAAAATGTAACATACATTACAAATTTTCCATTATATATTACAAATAATGTTACAAATTTTTGCTAACAAATTATGTTTTTGGAATTCTTCATATACAGTAAAGACTTGTTCAGACTTTTGGTGGTGCTGGATTACTGTACTTCTTTTAAAAACACCGGTTATTGTTGCTCGTCAACCGATCGATCTCGACTTTACATTCAACAATGCCAATGCGCAAACATTCTTTGTAAAATATAGCCTGGTAATATATTCAGCCTGGGTCTTTTCTAGATTATAGCGATGGACAATACATTTATGATTCAGAACAGGACGGGCTGGGATTTTTTTCCAGGAAATAATGGGTTGTTTTAAAGATCTTAATTAAATATTCTTGCAGATAGCAGTAACGAAAAAAAAATTATTGGTTCTAAAAGCAATAATGGTAAATAATATACAAATAACAAAATTGGTTAATTAAAAACATTTCATTTTTTGTGTAATTACAGTGAAATGTCAATATAATTATAAAACACTGCTGGCTAACCACAAACGGGTATTATCAAACTGACTATAACTACATTTTCAAAAACTGAGTAAGGTTTTAAGGCCTGATATGGTTACCCAGAGAAAAGCAGTACAATCTTTCTTTATTCTTTAGTAATCATAAATTGTGTAATGTGTACCTATCACAATGTCATCATGACCATAACCATCTCCCACGACCATGGTGCCATGGTGTACTAAAATTCTGACAATGTGTCTTTGCGGTCACGACACCATCGTGAACATGTCTCGCGTTCACGGCGCCATCTTCAACATGTCTTGCGGTTGCAGCACTCAATGTCAAAATGTACCAAGCTCGCGGTGCCATCGTCAACATTTCTTACAGTGGCATTACCAACATGTCTGGCTGTTGCGAAACCACAGTAAACATGTCCCACGGTCACGGAATCATTATCCTCATGTACTACAGTCAAGGCGCCATCGTCATCATGTTTCACAGTAAAGGCAGCCAACAACAATCAACATATGTACTAGGTTTCCTAAGTTCACCGGAACTGTGGTGTACATCTCTCTCTATCCCAGAATTGTTTCATCATCACCATCCCCTGCCATACCGGTGACATCTCCCGCGATCGTGGGGACGTCATTATCGTCATTCGTGACGCAGCTTTAACGCTGACGATCAAAATGAATCCTGTACCGAGAAAATCTCAAATCAAATGTAAACCTGTCCGTATGATCAGGAGTATATTTTCCAAAAAATTTCCAGAATCTTTACCTTTAATTTTATTTTATTGCTTCAAATTGAAAAGTAATTATCCTACAACAAACTAAATATGATTGATAGGTATGTGTGATTAATCGATAATGAATCATAATTCCAATTCGGCTCAATGCATCCAATCTTGAATCGATTCTATGGCAATCAAAATAACTATTTATGTAGAAAAGGGCTGATAAGGCATTCACTGAGACATAGCCTAGATATACAAACTATTTACAAAAATATAGTGAGACAATGCCTAACTATACAATATATTTCAATATCAAAATACAGAAAGACATTGCTTAGCCATAAAATATATTTACGTCAAGATATATGTATTTATACGCAATACATTTTATGACCGGAATAGGATCCCTGAATTGTACGTGATGTAAGGAACCAAGAAGTTTGAATTTTCGATAATTCGCCAAAAACCGCCCGAAATCCCAGATTTTTCTCGTTTTGCGTCATTGATAATTGCTATGGCAGGAACTTAAAAATAATGGATGTTGCCACAATCATAAGAAATGATATGATACTAGAGGTTAAATACCTTTTAATTACCGATAGCGACTGGATAGCAACCGGTTTCAACACTCAAGGTGTCATTGTCAAGCCCTGAGACGTGTTGTCGCTCCTAGAAGGTCATCAGGAAGTCTTTAAAACATACACACAAGATACTAACAAACATTTTTACGAATAAATAATAGAGTATGTTCATGCAACAACACGAATGATCACAGCAAACGTCGGAATGATATGCCGGGAAGATTACTTTGATTTTGCCACGGTGAATTATGAATTTAATGCTGCGATCAAAAGATATGATTACTGATGTTTCCGCGATCAAAAGATATGAATACTGGCTTTTCCGTGATCCTAAGAAACCTCCACGTGTTTAGTCGTGATCGCGAGAATATCACGGATTTTGCCGCGATTGCATGAGACCAAGATGAAATCTGAATTATTACATGTATAAGAATGCAAACATTGAAGAACAATGGCATTGTACAAGGTGAAACATGTATATTTTTGTCATTATCCTTAATAGGTTTAATTCCTATACTTGATGTCACCACCATCAGTCCCCCAGACAGTCAACCGTCCACGTCTGCTGCTGGTAGTGGTGATGACACTAGTACCAGTGGCACCAGGGACCCCAATCTCAGTACTCTCATTTTATTTTTATATTTTTGGTAATTTTTGGATTTTTTGGATTTTTGGTATCCAATTAAAGGATACATGTTTATTGGTTTTTATTGTTATTTTTATTTGTTTGGTATAGTTCAGTTATCTAAACTTTTATTTTTTAAATGTATACTTCTTCATGAATAAGTCCAAGCTGGTATAAAAAAGTAAGTTATGCTTATTATAAGCGGAAAATTTTGTCCAGAAAATTTTAAATTTTGAACCTGGAAAGCCTTGAGTTGTCCTCGACACCCTGACTTATTGTGACAATGTGTTTACATATCAAGGCATGGGACGGAGCCTGTAGTGAACCTGATGTACTCAGACAAAGGGATGGACGCATCTAGAATCTCTCTCTCTGTGGCTGACGAAGTAAACCGTGAAACTGTGATAGGTCAGTGGACAAACTGTGGAACCAATCCACAAGCAAGTTGCTAGAAGTTAATAGCACCTAACAATTTCACAATACTAGAAAACATTTTACTTGATCTTTTAACACTCAAAGGAAGCTTCTTCTAAATGAACTGTTGTAGTTTGCTTGTTTTTATTTTGATCAAATTTGTTTATTTTGTACTAAGCCATTGCCATTTTAATAAAAAAAAAAACCCCACTTTATTACCCTCCCTGTAGCAGGAAACCTAAGTACGCATTAAAATAAAATTAATGCTATTTAAAAAGGAATTTAGCCTGACAGCTTTAAGGAAATATTTTGATGAAAACCCAACCAAGTTAATTTGCTTGGTTTGTTGGTTTTCTACAGCGGGGATATTGTTTATTTACTGTATTATATTGTAATCTATAAAAAAAAACAACCTGCATGGAAAATATTCTATTTTATTACTGCCTTAAAGATGGAAACAAAAGTCTCTAGATTCCTAAAATAACTTTGGTTAAGCACAATAAAGTTAAATTAAGAGTTTTTGGTAAAGAATTTATTTAAAAAATGTTATTTTTGTTGGATTAAGTATTAAAGAAATTAAAATGTATGATTCTGAAGAATAATGTAGGTTTATGGGGCTTAAAAGTGATCATTTTGTCAAATGTTGGTACAACCTACAGGCTGAACCACAGGCCTGAGGAAAGTGAAAATTTGTAATTAATTATATACCTATTTGACTAATTATGCTAATTATGAGGATGATCTTAATTTCATCCCGAAATATAAAAGTTATTATAAACTTGTCAGTTTGAAATAAAACTTAAAATAGTTTCAACAAAATTTTAGTTTTTTTATATGAAATTTTCCAAAGGTTGCAACGATTTTTACTCGTTGGTAGGTTTGTATCTTTATTTTTTTTTTATCGCCTTCTGCGGAATACGCTGTGACTTGGAGAACTACTGAGCTCATCATAAGAATTCCCTTATGCTGCAATTGTGTCTACCGGTACCGAATCTTATTTGCTCATAGAATCTAATAAATTACTCAAACAGTGTGCTACTTTATGTGATGTGGGGTTTTATTTTATAGACTTACCTGGGCCCAGTTCTATGCCAAGCCCGACTGACTCTACAGCCTCACCTCCTCTGCCTCATCCAGGTAGGTCAGACATCTGCTGTAAACACACAGGTCATTATAGGGCAACGCCGGATATAAGGTGCCGACACAGGGTTCTATATTCCTTTTTACGAATTTTCCTATAGGGAAGTAGCTATTACCGTAGGCCAATAAGGTATAACTTTGTAGATAGGTACTAAAGATCAATTTTCAACTAATAGTAATAGTAAACAATTAGTGTACAAGGTTTTAGGATACCTAAACTTATACATCATTCAAATATCTGCATGCTATATCATGTAAAAATCTGGATTTATCCCCATGAAGAAACGTCTACGTCAATTTGACGTCACGAAGGGCAGGGCCTATACACGGTCGAGAAACAGCCCGCGACTGGAAATTTACCCCCAATATTTTAGAAAATATTTAGCATGTAATTGTTTGCTTATAAAGTGATTTGCCGTACCACGGAATTTGACCCCCGGAAATTTACCCCGAAAATCTACCCCCAGAAATCTAAACCTAGAAATCTACCTCCAGTCCAGTGGTCAAATCAGAAATGCTCGACCCCTGGAAATTACCCCCCCCCCCCCCCCGTGGTTGGCTACGTTACCTGTCGGCCAAGATTCATTGTTGTAGTTGGTTTTATTAATTTGTAGGGGTCTGCGGTGCACCGAAAAAGTCGGTACGGTACGGTACAAGCTTAATTACCGTCATCGGTTCGGTACAGCATTTTACACGGTACAAATTCGGTTCGGTACAGCCTATTATAATAATAAATTACTTTCAGTTTACTATCATAGTCAACTGTTGAGTTTTATCACTTTTATTTCTTTACGGCTTTCCCCAATTCTATTTTATCATAAAAATAATAGTTTTATGATGACTGTTAAATGTTATCTCTAACTCAGTCAGTATTTTTGTGAATTCAATTTGCCGCTGGCCATTGTCTACTGCCATAAAACTGTTTATGGCTACATATTTAACTTGTAACTAATCTACAATCTCATTTTATAAGTTAAAATATTTGTTATAGATATTTATCTTTCTATTGACGAAACCACAAGCATAGTTGTTGTTGTTTGCATCATTTTTTTGCGTTATGCAAGCCTACTTGGTCTCAAATTATGTCATTGCATGTTCTGTATCTTGTCTTATATTGTTAGATGTGGCTGTTTAAGGCCTAAATGGTTTTTAGTTTCCTGTATTTTTTGTTGTGTTGAAGGTACTTTATGCAATCCTAATAAATCTTATGAACTAGATAGTGATTTTGCTACCCTCATTGTAACCTAACCAATTTATATATAGGCCCTCCTAAATTATTAGGTCTAGGCCTGGGTCTTTTGATTCTTTGGAAGAGCTTTAAAATATACTAAGAAAATTGGATTGAGCCTGAGATAAACTAATGATTGATATGTGTGGATGTTAACTTTGTAAATGAAAAGACAATAATCTTACTCTGTGATAATCCAAATTTTATTTTCAGAAAAAAACTTTGCAAGAGTTGTATCCATCTTATAATTAGTTTTAAAGCTGATAAAAAAAGATGCTCTTTGCCATTACTTCATCATAACCTCTAGTTTTTCATTGTCGTCTGCTGTGAACAGCTGGCAATTACACTGTCTTCGTACTAAATGCTTTTATATGTTTTTAAAAATTTTAAAAAACAACTAGACATTGTGTTGGTTGGAAATAATTTACCAGTTGTGTGAAATGATCTTATCAATAAATGTTTCAAACATGTTTAATCCTAAAAACTCTTATCCTAATTTTAAAACCACTTTATCATGGCTATTCAAAGTATCTCGGAGTAAAATAGGTACCAAAGCCTTTATCTTAACTGTGATACAATCCTCGTGGTAGTAAAAGGTTTTGTTTTAATAATGTGTGGTACAGTAGTTATTGTTAGAAAACCATGAATGTTGGATACTATTCATTTTCATAGCAATATCAATGTATTTAAGTTAAAAATAATGGTATAAATACAGTTCTGAGAAGAAAACCGCAAAAATACAGGTAGCCGCGTACCGATTTTGTACCGAGAACCGATATACAAAATATTGTACCGTACCGAACCGTACCGACCTTAAATTTTCTGTACTGCAGACCCCTATTAATTTGGTTTATGTAAATCAACGTCTCTTCGGATAATCATTAGGCAAGCATGCGATATGTCGTTGTCTTGTTTGTTGTTTAACATTATCTATCTTCCTAATTCAATTAGCCCTTTTTCACCCAAACTACTTCACCGATTTTTACAATTGATGTGTTATTTTAAAGCTTAAGATCTAGCGGAGCGCAAAATGGTAATTAACGATATTTTGATTAGGGCTTCAAAAGGTTGACCCCTAAGCTTTTTATTTATTCCTAGTAGGGATCCCAGACGTCCTCTTTTTCCCAGACACGTCCTCTTTTTGGGTACAAAAAAAAACGTCCGGAGGGATTTTTGGCAATACTTTCAAATGTCCGGGATTTTGACTTTGTGAGAAAATAAAAAAATATTTCTGCAAGTATTAATATTAGCAATCAGCTTTTATAATTAATCGTCATCATAACATTAAACTAAGTTAAAATACTACACTTTAATAATATCTTACGTATAAAAGTGTCATTTTCTCTTTCTTTAGGTCAAATTTCGTGTATAACGTACGCTAGAATCCATTGGAAATACTGTAGAACAAAACAGAACGGAAGACGAAACTGGATAACTCTGCTCACTAGTAGCCAGTTTGCCAGGCCAGTAGCATACTAGCGACCGTCGACCATCGACCAGTGACTATCTCTTCGTCTGCTTACTTGCTTACTTTACGTTACATGTTACATGCCTACTTAAAAAGTAATTATCTTACTTTTTAATTTGTCCGTGTTGATCGTCCCTAGGGCCTACCCTAATGCCGAAAAGAAAATGTGTATTTTCAGAAAAGTTGAAAGAAAAGTTTACCTGTTTTAAGCGTGGTTGACATGAGCTGTTGCTTGCTGGGCAGGTATAATGCAGTAGTGTTGGGTGCTAGTTCTTAAACACTTCTTAGATAAAATAAGTTCTCTGGTTCAAAATCATGGTCTGATTTTGGACAATTTCTGTTTAGCATGCACATTGGCACCAGGGTGTTTTTGTAAATCAAACATGCTTGAATGTGTTGTAATGTTGCGGTATTCCTTTGATATTAAAACCACAAGTCTCAATAAAAAAAAACCAAAAAAAACATGACATTATACGAGTACAAGTTTATTTTTTAACATTTCTTGACCTTTAAAAAATAAACTGGGAAGCTTGAACACATTAAACTAGGTCCTCAAAATAGCTTAAAAAGTACTAATTTTAGCACGTTATTTCCAATTTTTAAGTCAGGTTGAAAACATAAGTAGATCGTCTGCAACTGTAAACAAGAGATGAAAAAAGCCTTTTTCACAGGGGTCCTAGGCACTTTGCGCACGGGACCCCTGTAAGTGTTGCATCGTAGGTTATTATTACTGAACCATTGTTTTTAAACACATTATTCACATAGTTATATACGATAAAGTTAGATACGAGGGGGGTATATATAGGGATATACAACATATCACCGACCACAGGGGGTAGAATTCTGATGTTGGAATTGTCTCATTTGACCACAGGGGTTAGATTTCTGGGGGTAAATTTCAGGGGGTAGATCCCGGGGTTGGACATTTCTGATCTGACCACTGGGGGTAGATTTCTGGTGGTGAATTTACGTTGTCAGGTTTTTTTGGACTTTGATTAACTACAACTGTTAAGTAATCAGTGAAATGTGAGTTGATCGAAATAATTATTTATCCGTCCTAAAAGCTCAATTCCGTAAATCTACCCCCAGACCTGCGACGTCAAAATGATGTAGGTGTTTTTTCATGGGAGTAAATTTCCGGGGGTAGAATTCCGGCGACCCATTAAAAACCTGCAACTTGCTGGAAAATTAAAAATTATACTTGCAATAATGTTGTAATAATGGCATGTGTCCACTTTTAATATCACTTATGAAAATTGTTTTGGGGCACTACTCTAATTATAGTTAATAAATATGCATTTACTTTTACCATTGATTGTTTCACCTCCAATGTTAGTGATGAGTATACTACATAGTTCTAGTCAAGGTCTACATTTATCTAGTAATTACAATAATATTTTTAGAGCCTTCTGACACAGACTGCCCAATGCAGATGGACTCTGATGAACCACTCCCAACACCAAGGTGAGCAACACTGGTGGAAACGAGATTTATACTTCTGGATTTTACTAACTTTCAGTACAGTAGGACCTGGTATCTCAAATCTGAAGGTGGTATGATCAAAATTTGACTTGTCAAGTTTTCAAGTAGGCGGGGTTTGAATTATGAAGGTGCTATATCAAAAATTCGAGAATCCAAAATGTTGGTGATAATGATTTAACGTCTCAACCATTTCAATTAGACTTTTACGTGCAAAACCTTTATAAATTGAGCTCAAGCTATTTATACGTACTGAAGGGTAACTTTGGAAGCAAAATAAAACGATAAGTCGTGCATTCAAATGGCATACTCAATGGCTTTCTCTTACAAAATAGATCATGATATAAGAATGAGCTTATCTAGTTACTGTTTTACGCAACTAATACACATTTGCTGACGCCTTCAAACTCATTGTTTTAGGGATGGACAAGTAGTGATTTTTCAATTCTAAATTGGGGGCTGGCGGCGCTTGAGCCGTCACACAGTTGTCATTAGTCAGATAAGCATATAATTCTCCAGAGAAAAATATTAGTCTAGGCCTAATTAAGTTATTAAGTTTTGTGTATCAAAGTAAGAAAAGTGTCATAAATATTTGGATTAGTCAGCTAAAGTTTCTTATTTAGCACACCAAGAAGGAGCTCTAGTCAAAGAAAAACTCACCCAATCGAGGAAGAAATGGAGAGAGCAGTTAGGAACGCCTTTAGAGGAACATTGCAGAACTCAATCGACGACAGAGTGAAAGTGCGCAAGCCCTCCGTCAAACAAAAGTACACAGGTCATCGAAACGCAAGGTGTGTACTGCACAATTAGTAACTTACAGTGTTAGTTCATCTAACAGTTTGCTCGTTTCACTCATTGTAAACCAATGCCATTGTATATAAGTTTGTGTTTAATAGCTGTTTCAAACAGTTTATTTTTGGTGGTCGAGTGTATTCAGCTTCATTTTACAGCATAATTTTCTGTTTTTCAAGAACATGCCTAGAATGAGGTTATTTGTGTTATCAGGTTTGTTTTGCTTCTAATCACAATCATGATTATTATTACCAGAAATTTCCAAAATTGTCTTGATCATACATTTTTAAAGATAGCCCTGTTACAGTAAATGTAAGTTATGTACTCAAACTTGCCACTGTGTCCACCATAAATCTACATGATCACTTTGTTGTTAATCAGCTTTTCAGTAGTGGTGTTAAAAATATACATCTAATATATCACACACTTCCTGGAGGATTCCTCTGCCTTAACCATCTGTGTAGTATCACATAGGCCAACCATCTTTATATATTTTTTCATTATAATACATTTTCCATAATTAATTATCTATTGCACTCAACACATTGTAACATTGTAAACTATCAAAAGTTTTTTCATTTCAGTATGGAACATTAAAAATCCGGAAAAATAGTACCATATTGTTTTTTTATACTCAACACCATTGGCATTTTACATAAAAATTTGAGATTTGTTTCATGTCCAATAGTTAATTTCTAAGACAGTTTTGACATTTTACTTTGTTTAGTAGTTTAGATTTCACTCTTTCAAAACAGTTTTTTGGACAACGAATAACTTTTTTGTGACATAACCTTTAACCCCTAATAACATTCACTCAGCACTTTCACGCTTTCAGTCATACATTCATAACAAATCTCTTCTTATCATTTTTATTCTGTGTAGTAAAAGTATTTCTATCATCTGTATTTTATCTTTGGATCTTATAAAATGCAATCCTTAAAATACAATTAAAACTGCTCGTATGCCATAAAGTTTAGCTATGATGTGTACATGTACTAAATGTAATGTGCTAAGCTAAAGTAAATATAACTAGGTAAGGTAATAAACTAATTAATCCTTCAGTCCTGTTTTGCTTTTGCTTCTGACATGCTCAACCTGGATGTGAGATCAGTCGGATTTCTTGGGCTCATTTCCTAGGTTTACTTTTGTACAAATGTTCTTTTCAATGCAAGACATTTAATTATTCAGTATAAAATACCTAAGCTTTTTTTCTTGTTTCCAACTTCTTGATTTAAAAGTATTAACACAACAGGCCCTATCTGTGTCTCGACAAATGTTTTTTTTCTGAATTTACAAGTCCTCAAATCATACAAATATAACACTTGCGCAGGTTTTATTTTTGACTACTGGTACCATGAAGTAGACATCCATTACCGTACCAGATTAAAGTAGTAGAAAGGTATTTTAATGTTTCAACGTTATTTATCATCTAACATTGGCCTGTTGTTCACTATTGATATAGCACTACTTTTTCACAAGTTACCAGTGGAATTAAAAAGAAAATTTCACTAAGTTGTGGCAATGTTAGCATACGTTGCTGTCTGAACACCATTTTTGTAATCTTGTCAGATTAGAAAGAACTTATCTTAACTTTAGGCCTAACATGTTTTAAGTTTTACCTAGTATCAGCAGCATAAAAGATCAAGAAGCAAGATTAACTATCACACTCTGTGATAGGCTATGTTCCGTATAGATGGGATGTCTTAGTTGTGAGGTGGATGTATGGCTGGAAGCTTGATGTCTGCAGTCAGTGTCAGAGCAGTAACGTGGCATGGTGTGTGCATGGCGTGGCGTGTCCCTACCCTAGGTTCTTTTGCAGGACCATGATCAAGGAAGCCACATTCTGGGGTGATGACTACGTGATGAGTGGCTCAGACTGTGGCCATGTGTTTGTGTGGGAGAGAGAGACAGCACGTCTGGTCATGTTACTGGAAGCAGACCATCACGTAGTCAACTGTCTACAACCTCACCCCTACCTCCCTCTGCTGGCCACAAGTGGTATAGACTACGACGTCAAGCTGTGGGCGCCACTGCAGCCTGAGCCTAACTTCAACCTGGAGATGGCCGAGGAGGTAAACATCACACACTTATCATCCTTATGTATCAGATGAAAACAATTTTATATATCATCCTTACAGATCAGCTGAACCCTATTTTAAGGTCAGTTTTATCCGGTTTGTTTACAGAGCGTTTTTGTTAGCTATTTGTTTTCTATGATTTTAAAACCAAAAAGTTATAAGTGTAAACAGTTGCTTGTCATCTATGATATGATATAGTATGATAACCAAAGAGGATTGCACAAATATTAAAATCTACCCTAAAATAAAAGAGAAACAATAAGTTATCATCATCATTGTCTATAAGTCTATAAATTAATGTACAACTGGGAAAAACTTGAACTACATGAAATGCACATAACAAAAGGGCTTGAAATTTTACAATAGGATGTGGAGTCTACTATTCAAGATCAATGGCACCACCTAACGTTTTACTGTCAACATTGTGCAAATTTACAGCAATAAAGATGTGTGCATTGTTCTATTCACAGTATACTTGTTCAACTCTAAAGAAGTTTCATTTTCCCATAGCGGCGTAGGAACCATTACTTGGCCCAGATTGGTCATTACGTTTACTATCGCAAGTATGTAATATTTCTCAATATGAAGGTAGTAAAGATAGAAGTAGTTGTTTGTACTGAAACATCGTGTCGAGTATTATACACCTTTTCATCATGTTAATGTTATATCACCTGTTTATTTCGTATCAAAACTCTTTCAAAAGTAATGTTTTTATCTATTGATTTTTTTATCTTTCTAATATGCTGGTTGAAATTCAATTTAGCAATGTACATTAGAACCCCGATAACAAGACTATCATGCATGGGGATTATAAAATAACAATTATCAAGGTAAACTTCTTATCGAGGTTTGCAACAACATGTGATTGGGGGTAAAATGAATTCAAAGGGAGTTGAATTGTTGTCATCGGTTGACACTTGTTATTGAAGGTATTGTTATCGAGATTCCACTGTGTCAATTTTTAAAGCCCTGCCTACCTTACTTTTCCCCTCAGTAGACCTTAAGTTGTCTTATTTTACAATGAGTTTTCAACAAACAGATCTTACGGTTTTATGCTATATATAATGTAAAACCTGTTTGGGCATCCAACAGTTTTTTAACAGAACTAGTAAAAAGCTTATTTTACAGTTGGTGTAACTTTAATATTCTAGATGATTTATGTAAAACTTCAACATCATTTTGTGTTCAAAAACCAAGACTACAAGATGTGCTTTGAATCATCGTTGAAAATTCGCAAAAACACATATTTTAGACAAAATTTAGAAGTTTAAGTGGTATAAACTTTCAGTACCAGGAAATGTATATGTAATGACTATGGGTCTCAATCCTACTATGATGGTATCTTTGATCTTCCTGTGGTAATTCGTTGAAGCAATTATTTGTGATTTTGTTATTTTAACAATCATCATTCAGGTTATACATTTGTATTTCCATTTCAGCTAGTAAAACGCAATGAAGTGATGCTAGAAGAAACCAAAGACACTATAACAGTCCCCGCGTCATTCATGATCAGAATGTTAGCCTGCCTCAATCAGATCAGGAGAGGTAAGGGGAAACTTAATCCAACAATAATTATAAGTTTTTCAATTAACAGGTATCTTTTGAATATATCTTCTTAGACCTGAAGAAGAAAATCCTGATTTTTCTGAGAGACTGGCTCCCTCTGCTTCGCAAAATAGTCTGTTTTGAGAAATAATTTTTAAAGCTGATTAAAGATTTATTACACCAAACGTATTCACTCTGGAGTGAGAAAAAATGTCTGTAGTTTCTTAAACTCAGGAGTCCCCCTAAAACCTGAGAACTCGCACTAAACCCTCCTTTTGATAGTTCTCTTTGCTTATTTTGTTGTATGAAATAAAAAATCAGCTCAGGGGCCTAATCTAAAACAAAATACAGGTTTACTGATAATCTTAAATTCATAAGACAATATATTTAACATATTTTTTATAATTTTTATTAAGATGAAAATTAAGTAAAACATAGTGACTTAGAAAGTAACAGATGTTTTATCCTAGCAAGGCTATAGCTATATCCACACCGATGATCTTTAAATTTCAATTCAACATCAGGGTGTCTACCAACCGGGAGTTGTACTTAATTTTGGCTTGGCCATTAACTGTACGGGATTTTTCCTCATCAAATTATGTCCTTATGTTGTTTAGGAAGTTCACATAGTCGATATATTCACGCCGCGAACACAGATAATGTGGATAACATTTCCGTAATCGTGGTAGACGGTGGTGATGACCACACAACGGAGAGAGATATTCAGGATTCTTTCACGATTGCGGATGACAATGACAACATTTCCGAGATCGGGGGAGCCGATGACGATGGCCACATGAGATATTCAGGATTTTGCCGCGAAGATAATCCTGGGAACTGGGAACCTATTTAGTCTCCAGTTATATTGTTATATTAAATCAAGTTTTATTTTAATATTGAATAGGTATATATATTTTTTTTTTTTTTTTACTATCTATTTAATGTTTATTTTAACAACAGTTAATCTTTTTTAACCTCTGAATTCTTTGTATAACAAAATACGATTTGTTTATTCCGTCTTTAGATAATTTTTTAACAAAACTGTTCGTGACAGTTTCTTTGACTGTTTCAATACTGTGCTTGAAATACACAGTCAGAACCATTTTTTTGACAAACCCTACAGACAGAGATTAGGAAGGCTATTTAGTTCATTTTGAAATTCAAAACATGTTTCACTCTGTGGACAACCTCTGTGCATGAGCCTAGACTTACCTAGTAACAACACATTCACATCATGTTTACAGGGGCCAGATCTCGAAACCGACGCCGCGACAACAGCAGTAGCAGCGATCAACACCAAGAGTAAATAGTTACTAACTTATATAATTTAAATTAACTTTCATATAAAAAATCTACAACTTTCGCTAAATCCCAGCAATAAGTTCAGTTCATTTTTAAGTTGTCATGTTTACTGGTAAGGTGTGTAGTGCTTTTGTTTGTTGGTTTTTTACACCATCTTTCTTAAGTTGATTGTTATTTTGATAGGTTTATCGAGGGTATTGTATTAAAGTCACCACAAAATTACCAGCAGGGATTTATAATCAAATAAATGTAATGAATTAGCTTTACTGCTTCTCACAAGGTCTGTATTCAGTATTTTCTTCTTGGCAGTCCGTCTCAAGCTGTTTATTTTCTTTTTGTTGTTTTATAGTTTTATATTATATTATTATTTATCTATTATTTTATTTTTACTGTAAAATATTTTTCATAAAGTGCCTAAATGTAATATACATATATTTCTTAAAATATCTTATTAGGCCTCTGTATGATCTCCACTTAAAATATTTATTTGTTTGAGGTTTGTAGTAATTTTATTTAATGTTTCTGTTTCTTTTTTGAATTGGTGTGCGAGTGTAATTGGTATCTTATAACACTAAAAATAAAAAACTACTTGGAAATATAATTTGTATATTGCAGTACTTTTGTCTCTGAATCTAGATTTCATTCTTCTAAAAATAGATTACATTCTTATGTTTAAAAGCTCCAATGAAAACCGGCTAAATTGGCCGTTGTTTGGCATTAAGTTCTGATAATGATACATGAGAATCATAAACAAAAACTTACAGGGTGATTATGAATAAAGTTGTTCAAGTATCTGTTATTTCATTTCATTCAAGTAGTTGTTCAAGAAGTTCAATTCAAGAAGTTTCATTCAAGTAGTTGTGTCATTTATATGCCACAAAATTATCAACAACATAATGACTTATAAGATATTGTAAATGAATTCGCACACTTCTACCTATTTTGTTTTAGATTGTAAATTAGTATTTAAAAGAAAAATATTAATATTAAAGCCAAACAACAACGTTGTTGTGACCTGTTAACATCTTAATCTGTAGGTGATTTGTGCTCTTAATACTTGGATATACTATATGAAAATCTCTTTCTATGATTACAATTAATTAATTATTGATTGGTTTTGGCTTTTTTTTCAAAGTACAAGTATATAATCCTGGTATCCTAACAAAACATTACAATGGAGTGTTTGTACATTTAGGAAGAGAAAAGTATATTTTGTATTAGGTCTTAATAAATCCTTTTCAGATTATGTGATTCAATTAATTACCATTTTTCATTTCGTTTTAGCAGATTTGCCATATAAAGAATAAGCTATTACCGCAAGTCTCATGGTAAGACCTGGACCCAGGACCTATTAACTATTTTTTACTTTGATGTCTCCAGAGGCCAAAAATACCATCCGTTCAAATTCATAAATAGGCCTGCAGTATTTTGTAAATGTGTCCGTTAGCTTTGCTTGATAAGGCCTGTTTCACATATACCCGGCAGTCAGGTGTCATTTAACTGGCAATTGGGTGAAGAAGTATATGGGACCATTGCCCGTTCATATATGCACGACATGTGTTGTGGTCGGTTGATCACTTACCCGGCTGCCGTGTACTCCTCGAGGGATGCCAGGTGCCCCCTCGGCGAAAGGCGGCTGCCGGTGTTGGCTGGAGTAGTGGGTGTAGCACTACCTGACCCAATGTGACTGATCGTGTACTTTTAGTCTAGCTGTTTTTAGTTCATTATTTATTTATTATTTGTGAGTGTATTAGTTATTTGTGCGCAAAGTTTTGATTATGTCAGAAATAGACCTTGAACTACTTATTAGTTTAGCTCAAAAACAGCCAGTCTTATGGGACAAGGCAGCAGAAGATTACAAGGAAGAGTACTTCCTTCTAGGGATGGACGGGTCCCGAAATTTCGGGAATTTTTCGGGGAAAAAATATTCCCGATTATCGGGACGGGATTAAATTTGACTCGGGAATTTTTCGGGACGGAATTTGGTCCGATCGTCGGCGATTTTTCCGCTTCGCGAGTGCCGATAACGCCGTTATTGCGAGCGATAGGTCCGCGAACGCAAGAGACGAAGTCGTTTCGACGATCACGCCGTGACCACGGAGTCCTACCGACGATCGCGCCGTGACCGCGGAGTCCTACCGACGATCGCGCCTTGACCGCGAGTCATACCGACGATCGCGCCGTGACCGCGAGTCATACCGACGATCGCGCTGTGACCACGAGTCATACCGACGATCACGCCGTGACCGCGAGTCATACCGACGATCGCGCCTTGACCGCGAGTCATACCGACGATCACGCCGTGACCGCGGAGTCCTACCGACGATCGCGCCGTGACCGCGGAGTCCTACCGACGATCGCGCCGTTACCGCGGAGTCATACCGACGATCATGCCGTGACCGCGAGTCATACCGACGATAACCCCGTGACCGCGGAGTCATACCGACGATCGCGCCGTGACCGCGAGTCATGACGACGATCGCGCCGTGACCGTGAGTCATACAGACGATCACCCCGTGACCCGCGAGTCACAAGTTTCTATAGGTACCTGTAAATTGTTACCCATTTTTTTGGTTTTTATAGATCAGTGCCACAAATGGTAAAAATTGATTTTGTATGTCTTTTTTGGTAACTGCAATACAGTAGAGTTCGTGCGTTTCCTGGTGAAGCCTGGAGGGTGGGTGGTTAGAGTGGCTCTAAACCGGTTTTGTATGGGCTTCAACCCTACCCCCAGGCTTCATCAGGAAACGCACGAACTCTACTTTCTTTTTATGAACAGAAAAAAATCCCGTCCCGTCCCGTCCCGAAAATCGGGAAGGAAATAAAAATCCCGTCCCGTCCCGAACTAAAAATTCAATCCCGTCCATCCCTACTTCCTTCTTATTCATTTCAACCATCTATACAAAAGTAACATTGCAATTGTTGTTCTGATTCCATTTCTATCCCTAGTACACACAAGTTTAACAAGCTGGAATACAACTGCTGGAGTGCCAGTCAAAGCCAAATTTCTTTATCTATCTCATATATACATACATAAAATAATGGTGTCACAAAATAAGGTTAAAAAATGTAGATGCCGTATAGTAAATAACACCAAAGGTCTTAAAGCTATTTACAAATTAATTGAAATAATCTGTTAATCAACTTACAAGCATTAACTTACTGAAAAACAAAACAATACTTAAGAATGTTTAGTTGCCATGTTTAGTTAAATGCTATGAGGTATATACATTTACACCTCTGAGCATCTCAAAGAATCAACTAGAAGCAACAAATTTTTCCTCTGAACCTACAACTTTTTTAACGAATTATTTTTAACCAGATGTTTAAATTTTTAGTAATTAACTAGCAGTTACCCGTCTAACAACTATTATTTTAAATGGTAATTTGTTCTTTATGATAAATTATAGAATTGTATACCAAAAACAAAAATAGAATACCTATTTATTTTACTTAATTGCCAGTGGATAAACAATATGTTGAAACAGTTTAAAAATTTCCTTTGCATATTGCTTTTGCATTCATCATTATAAGCCACAAGGGAAGTCCCTGACTATCGCTGATTATGATTGAGAAAATGCATGCTTTTCACACGCACAGCTGTATGTTGCGTGCTCACATGGGTGGTAGGTACGCCTTAAAAACGTATATTTATACACCTAATGAAAAACAAAAAACATCGTTTATCCACTGGTAATTAAGTAAAATAAATATTCTATTTTTGTTTTTGGTATACATTTTATTATTTATCATAAAGAACAGTACCACCATTTAAAATAATAGTTGTTAGCGCAAGCGAGTAACTGCTAGTGATTCAATAAAGCATTTTACATCCCTTGGCAAAGAACCAAATCTAAATTGAGATAAACTGTTTCCTGTAGGTAATGAAACATCATTGTTGTATAGTCGTAAATGTTTTTGCACAATATGGCTCTTGAATAAGATTGGTTGATAGTGAGTTAATTTGGAAGCTTTAAATTTAAATGAGGATTTTGTAGTCACAGTAGAAATGTTTTGTTGTTAAGATGGATAAGTTGGGGTATTCTAGTAAAATATTGAAATTACAGTTTCTAGTATGAAGAAACCATTCAGCAAAAATACCACCCTTGACAAAGCAAAAAAAATTGGGGCCTGGCAACTACAATCCTTCCTTTGTCAGCATCTGTTCACATGCCTTATTTTAAGTCATGGCAAAAGTAACTTTCATGGGAAATTCCTTCTTAGTCTGTTTGAAAGGATTACTGACAGTTTGAGTGGAGTCAGCCAACTTTGCTTTGATTGTGTAGGTGCCCAAGTGAGCAACAACGCTACAACCAATCTTGGACCATATGCTTCAGTTTCTCATCAACATGATAATAGTTTTGTTAGCATGGGTTTATGAGGTAACGAACCTAAAGGGCTTAATGAGTTAAAAAAAGTAAAGGTTACACAGAGCGTTCTATGTCCCTTGGTAAAGAACCGAATATTAACTGGTATAAAACGTTTCCTGTTGGTAACAAATTAGACACAACATAATCATTCATTTGAAACCTTTAACAATGAGAGGTGATGTTTGAAGATGGAAGTCTTAAATGTACCTAGAATCGTTGGTAGGTATGTTAAATTTAAGGCTATATCCATTTCCTAAATAAAGAAATATAAAAGCTATAGAACCAATGTGGGACTTAGGAGTTGTTCTTGTTTAATTATCGTAGAAATCACACTAAGTATGTTGGTTGGCATTGGTAAAGTACATTTCAAGTCTAAATTACATGCAGAATCATAATGGATCTTTTTTACGAAAAAAATACGTAAAGTGAGAGATATGGTGAAGTGGGTTAAAAAAGCTTTAAAAGGATTAACTCATTTTATGAATATTAGTGAAGATTTAAGGAAGTTATGGCATACTGACTTAAAAATTATTATATAGATAAATTACATTTGGAAAACTTAAGGAATGCCTGTTGTTCGTCTTCGTAATGTCATAATTTTAACGTTTCAGTACGACCTTGCCATTTTAAACTAAATAACCCTGTAATCTGCATAATATCTTAAATACAGTGCATCTGATACTTGATGCGTTGCATTATTGTGACGTCATAGTGCTGTCTGCGCATGCGCGGTCTGTAACCAACAGCTGTTGAGCGCGCGTCTGTAGAGACCGACTGACTTTAGTTAGTTAGTAATCAGTAGTAGTGTTGTGGGAAGTGAGAGATTGGTGCGTCCCATATGGTCAGTGACGCTCGTATACAACATAGCAATAAACTTGTTCTTTTGATTTTGTAAGTACTCTAATTAATTATTAGGTGTTTTAGTTTATAAATTGCTGTTGAGTATGCATAACAAATCAGTTCCATTCTAACAATGAATACACATTTTGGACTAATATATTAAAGGTATTGTTGAGATTTGTGTTTACATACTTTGTAACAGTCTGAAATTGTATGTAGGCCAAATATTTTTTGTGTTTTAAGGGATTTTATTCTACAATGTTTCTTTCTTTGGCTTAAACTTTGATTTTCGTTTTGAAATGTATCCATTGATCATGATGAATATTAAGTTGACAATTCTAGAGCCACTTTTAGGCTACAATTTAAAATATTTGAAACACTTCATAAATGTGTGCAATTTCAATACTTTTTGATTAAACGCTATATTTATAAGCCAAAATTGGTGGTTATTTTAAATCTCTCAAATCTTACTTTGCACTTGCACACAGTAATGTATAATTATGTACGTCAAATGCATAACTTTAGTCTATATAAGATTTTCCTGACAATTTAATTTTTACCAAACTAATTATAACAATATCTACTTATACTGAATAGCATAAACATATTGCCATAGAGGGGTTTTCTCTGCAATTATAATAATTAAGTCCATGTTCCCTACTAAAAATGGTGGCACTTGTCTTCGGCTAACACCCTTGTTCATTGTTTGTAGGAATCTTCATATTGTAAGTGTTCTTCATTATATGTAAACTATTCCTGAAAAAAAAACATTACCATCTCTATTTCGTCTACTTGGTGGTATTCTATGACTTTCCCATGTTTCCATAGTTTAAAAATCGGCTATTTCAATGATAGCTCAAGAAATACAGTACTCAATTCATGCTTGTCTTATTTGTTGAAGTATATCAAATTGCCCAGGGTTTCTCGGTTGTTTCTATTGTAAATACTGTATGTACGCAAACCCATAAATTCGAATAGTAATTGATTAGTAGGTTTTTTCCAGTATTCGTGGTTAATTTAAATCAAATCGGTAAATGTATCCCATGCGTTTTCTTGAATTGGAAAATAAAATATTGACAGCAATTTAATTATCCAGCTGATCGTAATGTAAACAAATATGTTGTTCATAAGGGTAACATGGGAAATTTAAAAGCCCCTGGAGCAGAGCCCAATGGACTTTTTCAAAATCGTATAGAATCAGAAGCTATCATATCATACCCAGAAAGATTGGTGCGTTAAGTTTATTTTATCGTGATTGGGGCTACGATAATATTCATGTCCTCCAATCATGACGTCGACTGCACATATATTAACTTAACAATCTAGTTGCTCGATGAGGCATCAGCTAATAATAATTACAGCAATCGAGCTGATTGAACCACGCCTCTCGGAAGTGCGACATCTCAGCTGTTTTTCATCGTTGAACAGCTGATTCGAAATGCGCATTCTCTCCCATGCATGGAGTCAACTAAATTTGATTTGTTTGCCATTTCGTTGTTACGCTACTTGTCGGTAAAATAGTTATCCCGGTATTAAACTGTAACAATTAGGCCTGTTACATGCTACATAGCAAATATTAAATATTGGTTGATTTTACAAAGATAGGAAAACTATTACGTTAGTATAAATAACATTTCTTTACATATTACATGGTTGGTATTAATTATATCATATTCAATTCAATGCAGCTTAGAGCCTCAATGGAGATTATGTTAGCTCCTAAATTGTTAAGGTACGTTTTGCTTGGAGCGACAGGTGCGACGGTCGCGCAGCGACTGTCGCCGAGCGGCAGTCGCGGGATGGTAGACTGTTTTGCTTGGAGCGACAACTTCTTTGGCGTCACGAGACGTGGTACCGTCAGTGCACCTAACCTCAAAAGTGCGCACTAAGTATAAAGTCACTAAATAAAATCGATAAATTCACTTAGTAAAACAGGTAAAACTTAACAAATAAAGTATTCCTTATAGGCCTAGTTATTTGTTATAAGAAACATTCCAAAACTGCCATGTCACAAGCCAAAATGTAATAAAATTACTCAATTTCTCCGTAAATTGCAGTACACAAGCATAACTTTAATTGGAAATCAGTGTTATAAACAACCTCCTCACAGAGTGAAAATTATATTTTATTGATTGTATTGTAAATGAAAAAAAATACCAATTACATTATATACTACATTAATATTTGAATAACCACATTACTTTAATAATTGGCATTTTATATATTTAAATATGACACGCCTGACTTTTAAGCCAATTTGATCAATAACCATTATACAGAGCAATATTTTTTTGAATCACCTAAACGAAAATTTAATTAGAAGTCTTTTAAGTCGACAATCTAAATAACCTAACTTACTAATATATTAAAATAACTTGTAAAATAATAAGACCAAAGAATAAAGGACAACGTCAGGTTTAAACTAACCTGACGTTGTCCTTAATTGTTTGGTCTTTGTAGGAGATATGTTTCAAATCATAAAGCGCGGGGTATTTTGCCACTTCTTCTAATAAACTGTCGTCTTTTTCACCACTAAAATTTAACTTAATCACAGACGTTGGCCGACGCCATATAGCGAAAATAAAAGGTTACCGAACTTGTCAGAATGGTGTACACTATAAAAACAATCAGAAATGTAACTGTCGCTAAGCGACTGTCGCTCCTGACTGGTCTAGGAGCAGTACCCAGCGACTGCAGCTCGCGGCTCTAGCGACAGTAGCTCCAAGCAAAACAGGACTATGCAAAACCCCTTTGATCAGTGTCCCGCGACTGCCGCTCAGCGACGGTCGCGCGCGACCGTCGCACCTGTCGCTTCAGGCAAAACGTACCTTTAGTGTGACACTGAAAATACAGCAAAAAGTCTACAGTAATAATAATCTATAATATTAAAACGAAACAGTGTTTTTTATTTCACGATTCTGAATCAACCACTCGACGGATTTTCATGATTTTTGTGTTGAAAGAAAAATAATTTTGAGAACTAGGGAATGTCGAAGCCATAAATTTAGTTTAGGGTCCCAGTTTTTTTAGAAATTAAGTTTTAATTTTTAAAAAGTCTAGCAGCCGACGCTAAGATTCTAAACTAGCTTTTGGCATAAAATAATTTGCTTAACATAACAGCTGTAAACATTCAGCTTTTGTGTCACTAATTCAGCATTTGGATAAAAATGTAAAGACATATGCTACTTAGGGTTGACTTATTTATACCATAGATGAAGTCATCTATGTTTATACTATGTGTAATGCAAATCATTGATACGTTCAATTATTCTGTAAGAGGATGATAGATTAATTAAATTATACAAAGTAAAATACTAGGATGTTCAAAATTATTTTTTTAAAGCAATCTTTGTAATCTTCGATTTGTTTTAGAGCAATATAATTTGTTTTAACTAACAGCTGGTTAAATATAAACTATGGAACTATGAGGTTATTTTATTTACTCTTATTTTGTCATTGATTATAGGAAATAAGTAAGATTAATAGAGATAATTATATCACAGTTTAAAATAGTTTAGACCAAAATTAATTAAACCACAGTACAAATCGAGGCTCTGTACACGAGTCTTAATAACAAAGGATAAACGCAAATTATTTTACTATTCCACTTTTCGAGGAAAGAATAGAAAAATAACAATGTTTACATGTTTTAATTCTTCATGGTAGCTTTTTGTTTACAATTAATGATTGTCTGCTTTAACTTTGTTTGGATTAAACCTGGAAACATTGATGTCATAAAAACAAAAAGAAGATAAAGAATAATCAGGAATCACGATTTTAAATTACCACCACAACCTCAGCCGAGTTTTATACAAAGATTGAACACAACGTCAACATTGACCTAGGATACTGCAATTAGACAAACCATCCTTTTATGAAATCGTGTTCAGTGAGGTTACGTTTGGGGGTGCCTATCAGCGCCCCCAAACGAGAAAATATCACTTTTATTTCAATTATGAATATATTGTAGTTTAAATTAACTAATATGGGAAATTACGATGTACACTTATTCAATGAGAGTGGGTAATTATTAAGAATATAACTGATAACGGTATGGATGGTAAACATTGACAATAATTACGTCAGTAGCTTTACTAGCGTGTTTACTTATTATTTATATTCCTGCTACATGTGACCAGTTCTTTTAGTAATCGTGAGTTATTTTTTTCAAATGAATGTTATTTGAACCAAACAGCTGTTTCAAAACAAACTGTTATTGTTTTTACTTTTCTTTGTTTACACTTATTTATTTAGCAATTAATGCAGTGAAATTGATATAAAGGATAGGTGTGACAATTTATGTGTACTGTGAATTTTATTGGATATTATCGTTTTATTTTAGGTCGTTTCTATTCAGACCTACTGGAAATTGTGTATAGTAGTTGTATTGTGGTGATAATAATTATGGAAGAGGCAGGTATGCTAATGGTAGGTGGTATCGGTGACTAAGTCTATACACTTCTCGATTGACTATTACTCTCTCTACTACTGTAGGCTACTTATTATCAGCGTGCGTCTGTGCGAATCGGCTGCAAATCTCACTTCAACGATTTTCACATCGTAAAAATTGCAGAATTGTTGTTTTGTTGTAACTTTATCGGATTTAAAATGCATATCGTATAGGCCTATGATGGAATAAAAACATATTTGGTCACACAACATTTGTTTACAAGATGATTTTTCACATTAAAACTGCAAGAAACTTTGTCTTTATATATGTGTAAACTAGCTGATCTGAATTGTACACGGTTTTAACTGACTACTGAATTCCCGTACGTAGGACGGGCTAACAGCTCGTATCTAATTAAATGTAAACTATAGTATTTTGATGTTATCTTTATTTACTCTTTTTGGCACTCGTTTTTTCATTATTTTTTTCTCCATACCAGTTAGTTAACAACTACCTACAAACGATGTTTTTGATCAACATTGCTTTTCCTGTAGCATTTAATCCCGTTGCAGGGTATTTATTGTGTTGCTATTTTTCTTGTTCTCTGTTGTTATTTTGTTCTTGTTGGTCAAAATTGATTATATTGTTATTTGTTCTACTA